ATTTAGGACCAGTTGGCTTCCATCTTGTGGTTACACCATCCACAAAATATGTGGCACCCAGGCGGCCACTGCAGGGGAAGAGAAAGCTGGAGGGAGTGCACTGGCTCTCAAACGCCCCAGTGTGGCTGTAGGAGAATGAGGAGAGGATCTCTGGTAGACGGTTTCCAAAGATGGCCAGTGTCCATTCTTTCCCCTCCTGTGCGTGCATGCCACTCCTCCCATCACAAGTAGAGCCTATTTCCCTCTCCTTTAATCTGGCTGGCCTTGGGCCTTGCCTTGGTCAAGAGAATGTGGAGGAGGTGACCCTGCACCAATTCCAGACCTACTCTTCCCTTGGAAGCCAGCTCAGGTAAAAAGTCCAACTACATTGAGAACTTCACGCTGTAAGAAAGATCAAACAACAAAGGCGGAGGCTGTACGGAAAGATGCAGATGCCCAGCCTGCTCCCAGCTCACCCAGCCATCCCAGTTGGGGTGCAAGACACGTGAGTGAAGAAACCATCTTGGACATCTCAGTGCCACCCCCCAACCCCACACCCTTCCCAACACCCAACACCACATGGAGCAGAGGACCTGCCCAGTGGAGCCCAGCCCGGATTGCAGAACCATGAGAAATAAGAAATTGTTGCTGTTTGGGGCCAGTTTACTACACAGCAATAGAAAGGAGGTCTGTGTGTCCCTGAGGGAGGGGGAGGAAGAGACAGAGAGAACGAGTCTGAGCCCCATGGAGAGAGCACCTGAGCAGAAGCTTAAAGAACAGTTCTCCCCAGGGCTCTGAGTGAACCTGAGCGCACACGGCCTTGCTTTCAGTCCCAAGAGACATGAAACTAGGGAGCAAAAGCTCTCCCGTGTGAGTGCAGACTGCAGCCTGGGCTTGGCCAGGGAGGACTCTGCGGAGAGAAACACTCCCCTGGCACTTCAGGCGTTTGTGGCTTGGGGACAGGGCTGAAGCCAGGCAGGGGCAGTTCTCCTGGAGCACAGGGGCAATGGCTTCATGGCCAGAGGACACCAAGAAGCTGCAAGTGAAAGAACTGCAACTCGAGAGGACTACTGTGAGCTCAAGCAAGACAGGCCTGGGGTCTCGCAGAAATTACCAGAGGAGACGTGGGCGGAGGACCACCATTGTGAGCAGAGACCACAAAAGCTGAGTTGTTACTGTCACTGGTACGGCACGTGTGCCCCAGGAAATACAGGTAACAGCAGGGAGGCCTGAATGTGAGAGCCAAGAAAACTTATTTCAGACTATATGAGAAACACCCTTGGGGGCTCCCAGAACCAGGTGGGAGGAATTGAAGGGGCTGGCATTCCCAAAGCTGTGGGCAGAAAAGACACCCCAAGAACTACTGCTTAGGGGCCGGCTCCGTGGCCGAGCGGTTAAGTTCGCACGCTCCGCTGCGGCGGCCCAGGGTTTCACTGGTTCGGATCCTGGGCGTGGACATGGCACCACTCGTCAGGCCACGTTGAGGCGGCGTCCCACATCCCACAACTAGAATGACGTGCAACTAAGATATACAACTGTGTACGGGGACGGGAGGGAGGTTGGGGAGATAAAGCAGAGAAAGAGAGAGGGAGAAAAAAAAAGATTGGCAACAGTTGTTAGCCCCAGTGCCAATCTTTGAGGGAAAAAAAAAAAAAAGAACTACTGCTTATTACTGGGAACCTATTTATTAGCCTGAACCTATTTCGACCTCCCCAGGCCAGTCTCCTAGGCTGGAGATTTGGCAAGGACCCTGAAGGGACTTTGTGGAGATGCCCAAGCCCTAGATTCTTCTGGCATGGGACCTGATTTTCCGCTCCTCCCAGGGACGAGGCCTCTGAATCCGAATTCTGGGCCTAGAAAGGAGGTGCTTTCTAGATCCAAGAGGCCTCCGGAGCCAGAGACTCAGACCAACAGTGAGCCAGGAATTCAGTGACGGGGGCTGTGTGCCTTCAGTGGGCCAGGAGAGCCCCCCCGGTGTGTGGGGAAAATGAGACTCCGTGGATGCCTCCAGGGCCCTGGGCCAGGATGGCAAGAGGGACCACCGCTGCAGCCCACACAACTAGCAAATTGTCCCAAGTCATCACATCAGTTAAGGATTGAGATGCGGCTCAGGGCTCAGTGGGAAAGCATCTGTGACTGATTAGGGATGTCAACCCAGGGGCTGAGGATGGTGGCAGCTCCATCTGACTCTGTGACTTCAGCCGAGGGACTGTGCCTCTCCTTCCCTCTTAGTTCCCACGCCCAGTGTGAGCAGTGAAGAGCTCCTTATTCATGAGGACAAAACCCTCGTCCATCAGAAGGAGCCCCTAATAAGCGCTTCCGGGCTCTCCATGTAAAAGCCCCCGAGTAGCTCAGCTGGGAATCCTCTTCCCTGTCCCCTATGCTGTCCCCAGTGTGCTCAGAGAGGTCCTTCTTAAGGTCTGTGTGTGCTGCTCCAAAGCATGGGGCTCAGCCTCTCCCCACAAACCACGACCCTTCCTGGGCTGGCCTGCCCCCTCCGCTGTGCAGGCATGTCCACCCCCACGCACGCCCTCGCTCCAGCCTCATCTGCATTTAACATCCCTTGTTGGGCTGTGGCAGAGAATACTCAACAGACTCATATTAAAAATGCCCTTTAAAATTCAAAAGCTTTGAACTAAAGAAATACCTTGAGAAGTTTTCATGGAAAGTTCAGCTCCACTGGTTCAATTCACTACACTTAGATGCACCTTTTCAAATAATAGGGAAAAAATGTAACAGGGTCAGACCCAATCAATATGCTTGTTCAAACAGAATTGCGGGGACTGTGATGTGCACACATTTTGTACTCTGCCTTTGTACCCTGCCACTCGCTCTGAAGAAAGGTTTCTTTGCTCAGAGAGCAATGAAAGTGGTAGCCTTTGGAGTGGAGGCGGCAAAGCAATAGTGTGTTTACCGGGCTGGGAGGGGCTGCCATTTTTCACATCCCCCCAGCTTCATCCCTTTGTTCTTCTCATAACAGTGAGCAACCCACATGGGCAAAGTCGCCTGAGCACCTGGCGTCTGATGCTGAATTGGAAGCAGAGGGCTCCCAGCATTCGCCTGCCGTGTCTCAGAAATATGATTTGTGGATTAGACAAATAATTTGCTGCTTCTTTCCCACCCTTGGTGAGAACTCAAAGGGACTTGCCATGGAGTACTGTGCTGTGGTTGGGGGAAAATTCCAAAGCCCCAAATGGGCTCCTGTCTGGCTGAGTCAGGGTCCCCATCTCTCCTCACCCCCGATGCCTCCCATCCCCAAGCTGACCTTGGCAGATAGGGGCTTCCCTGGCCTTGGGCTACGACCTACAATAGCCAAGAAAATTCTGGAGAACCCAGCTTAACTGAAGGCAGCCAAGGGAGTTGAGGGAAGGGAAGGAGGAAAGGGCAGTTTCCACCCCAGAGCCAGACGTCAAGGCAGGCAGAAAAATGAATGATGGGGAGCAAAGAAAATGCTCGTTTCCAGCACCTCCATCAGTCTGTGTCCATCGACTTCACGTACATTCACAAATGCACATACATCTCAACTTTAATCATGGAAACGAGGCCCTGGACATGCTGAGACTCTGGGCAGTTCGGGAGGCTCCCACGGGGATTAGGAAAAGATTTTATTCTCAGCTCCTGTTTCATACCAGATGCTTAAATATTCTCATTGGTTCTTGCTAAGATTAGATAAGATATCCTGGGCTCAACCTGGGCCCAGGTTAGAGTTAAAACTCAGCATGTCAGCAAACAGAAGCAGGAGAAGCCCACTCATGTCCCCTTTGTCAACCGCAATCCCATCGTTTCAAACTCTGCTCAGGTCCTGTGGTCCCCTGTAAAGAAGCGAAGCTGGAATCATTGGGCCACATGCAGTTTCCCAGACTGGTCTCCATCAGGAGGGTCCCTGGCCAGCCGTTACTTTCATGGACGGCCCCATCTTAGCTCAGGTAACAAGAGCCCTTTCGAGGGGGTAGAGAAGGGGGCTGGGCCATTCTGCCTCTTACACGGGATGCAGCTGGAGCGTGCCTTCTCCAAACTGCACGTCTCCTCATGGGGTCTGAGCTGAGGGCGTGTCACATTCTCTGCAGACTGAAATTTGGGTCACGATCCTTCCAGAACAGCTCCCCCTCCACCCTGCTGGTGCTGAGAGAACAGTGAGAGGCACCATGTTCCCTCAGACATCGGGCTGTGCGCGTGAAACAGGGACTGAGACCAACAGTAAAAAACCACTGACACGTTTCCACTGAGAAAATGCCTACAGACGGTCTCCCTGTGGGGTGTTGCCTCCGTTCCTTGTTTTGCCTTTGCACTCAGTTATGGAGGAATCCGCCCCCGACCCCTACTCTCATCTGCTGTAGAGATTATCTCCAAGCAATGCTCAAAACCGGGGTGCATCTTTTATTTGAAAATTCAAAAAAGAGATCAGTAGCTAAAAAAGCAGCAGTGTCCCCTGTTCGGAATACCTTGGAATCTATTTTCCCCAGTTTAAATAGTTGGAAAGTTACTCTAAACCTCGGGTGCTCTTCTTGGCAAGAAAGAAAAACTGCCATAACAACTTGGAAACATACACATCCCTAAACTGAACGGGCCTCTTGCCTTCTGTTTTAAGCCTACATCACAAGTCAAAATGAATTAAACACAAATCCAGTTTGCAACGGTCCATCACTAACCCACCTCATTGGAAGGAGCTGGTGGCGTGTGGGTTGGAAGGGGGCCCGTGGCGCCCCTCCTGCTATCTTGGATTGCAGTCCGCCTGCCAAACCAGCCCACACGGGAGTCCGCAGCCCGGAGGCTCCACCACAGGGACGGGTGGGGCCGGGGGGCCACCCTGAGCAGCTGCCGAAGCCAAACCCAGGGCCAGGAGCACAGGCCTTATTCCCCTTCTGAAGTCGGTCAAGTGTCAAGGAACTGTCCTCAGGAGAAAGTTCTCATAGGTGAACTCGAACAGGATCAAGAGCTGACAGTGGGGACTTCTCAAAGAAATGGGAAAAAAACTAACAGCCCACTCAGGAGAATACAGCCAGCAAGAAGCAGGAAGCGTATCAGGTTAATATTTTAATCTGTACATCACATTTTTTTGCAAACCATTACACCTTTATTTAAATTAACTTTTTCTTGCAAAATATTCATTTCATTTTTTCCAACAAAATCTTATAAAGGCAAAAATAAAATCTTATTTTGGCAAATGTCATGAAGTCGATACTGGCAGCATATGGAGTTAGTTAAAAATAGACGGCAACTTCTAAATATATTCAAGATATTTTTTCTGACCAGAGTCAAAGACAAATTTTCATTTAAAGTGTGGCTCCACCCAATGGAGTTTTTTTTCCTTTTAAACCTCATTTTCTATATGCAGACTATCATGATCTCATGACTTAAATAAAGGGCCACAAACACTGGGCCTGGGGTGGCAGCCCCCTCCTCATTTTGGGCTGGAAGTCAGGTCACAGTCCTGTCATCGTGGTCCTGCTGGCTGCCAGCCACCAGGAATGGTGGGGGCACCTGCCTGCCCTCCTGCCGCCAGACCAAGTCCTAGGAAGCGGACCTCGGTTCTCCAGGGCAGGCAGCACAGATCCCAGGATTGCTATCACAGCCTAGTATGGAGTCAGGGAGCTGTGGGCAGATGCCAGCCAGTGTGGAGCTTATTGCTTACGATACAACAAAAGGTGCTTCCTCTCACCTTTTCTGCATTTAAAGCATATTTTTAAAAGTTTAAGCCAAGTGTTTTCCTTCTGAGAAGAGCCCTTTGCTGAGAGAACCTCATGGGTGAGTCGGGAGCCAAAGCTCTTGAACACACTGTTGCCCCTGAACCAAGCCCGGGGTCAAGGCACAGAGTGGGGCTCCGCATGCTAGCCTGGGGGAGTTTCACTCTCCAGAGCTGGTCATCAGGCCAGGTCAGGGACGGCTGATCTCTGCAGCCCAGGGCCCCTCTTGCCCCTACAGCACACCAAAGAGCCTAACGCTGGAATCCACTGGAAGCACATTCTCAAATCCAACCTTCACCTGAGTTCAGCGGATGCTGACTGGTCTCTGCTTGGCCTGCCCCTCCCCCCACCCACACCTACCACCCAAATGGTACCTGGATCTGTATGTGCAGCTCCAAAATCCTGCATCCTCACCTTTCCAGCCACTCAGCCCTTGAGGTGAACATTATAAAATACATTCTGATTCTAAAATACAGTATCAGTATTTTACAGTGTGTTATCAAAAGTGCCTCTGTCATATGTAAAAAGGATTTTGAACTAAAACAAGTTTGCGGGTGTTAGGACCTAGCCCTATGGTGAATGCCTCACAGCTGTGGGCTGTTCCTTTCTCCAGCCAGAACCCCTGCTTAGCTGGAAGGGGTTTCCTTGGGGGAAGAAAAGTCCATCTTCTCGGAGGAAGCTGGTTCCACTTGGCCCCTGGCTCCAGACTTCTCTGCAGGCTGGGTCATGGGTCAGTCACTGCCTGGGCTGGCAAAAAGCACAGGAGACAATGAGAGGCTGGCAGGACCCTGCCTGCATCTGGGGAGCAGGCGGTGGGCATGTCCGTGCACACATGTGACAGGGAATGGCAGACAGGCTGACAGACAGAGAGCAGCAGAGCAGGGAACTGGGGCAATGTGGCCGCTGCTGGGGGACCCTCAGCTTCTAGGACTCACAGCACTTGGCCCCACCTTCCCGCCGCCCTCAGCACTTCTGGGAAGTTCATCAGACACATGCTGGCCCCTAGATTGGGTCCCTGCTCTGATAGGGCAAAAGGCCTGATCAAAGAGGACTCTGGTGACCAGTTCCAGCTCTGCCCTCATTCACTGAGACACTTCTGGATAACTCTCTCAGCCTCCAGGGGCCTTGGTTTTTAATCGAAAAATGAGATGATCATACTCACCTCCTAATGAGGAGGAAATGTGGATGTGCCTTGAAAAGAGCATTAAAAGGTTATCGCACAGCCACGGGGCCACTGAAAGCCAGGAGGAACAGAGCCTGTCTCCTGCCTCTCTGTGGCCTGGGGGATGTAACCACACTTAGATCTCCAGGAGAAAACCACACACCCTACTGGGGCCCCAGCAGGCCCTGGCTGGAACATTTCCCTGTGACTCTTCGGTCACAGGGTCTCTACTCCACACCTCTGGAGAGGCTGGCCCACGCAGGCCAACTCTTCCTTCCACCCTCAGGCTGGTGGGGCATGCGGACCGCTCCAAGGCTGTGGGACACCTACTGAAAACCATGCCCCTCACCCCCAATGCATGAGCTCTCCATCCTCACTTCACTCCCTTCTTCAAAAGCCTAGAGCCCCTGAGGGTGGCCCAGAGGAGTCCATGAGTGGTGACGGAGAACAAAGGCTCTGAACTCGTACTGGAGGGGCTTAAACTGTGGCTCTGACACAAGCTGTGACTCCTTGGGCAAGTCCCTCAAGCTCTCTGAGCTTCATTTCCTCACCTGTAATATGGGGGTGAATATCTTCATAGGGTTGTTGTGTGGATCAGATGAGATGCTTAGCACAGTGCCTGGCACACGGCAGGCACCCAACAATGGTACCCGTAAGTGTATGTAAAACAAAGACAAATGCTACAAATGCTACAAAATGCTAGTGAGATGGAACATCAGGGAAAAGACTGCTGATTTGAGCCCCGCTGTCCAGGTGAGGCAACTGGGCCCAGAAGCCACAGGCCCAGGCCAAGAACCCACCACAAGACTGGACCAGACGTCGGGCCTCCTGACTCCTAGTCCAGTGCTCTTCTCTAATCCCACGCTGCTTCTCTTCACTAAATGCTCACATGGGGAGGACTGAGAGGGGTGGTGCTGGAACATTCTGAGTGGTTGTGGGCCAATTTCACATTGCTCTGGGCAGACTGCCCCTGAAGCTTCCCTTCTTCTCCCTCCTAAGGTGCTCAAGTGACTACAAGGCAGTCCTAGTCCTTGCTGTGACCCCCATTCTGTGTGACCTGGAGTGAGCCCCCACCCCCTCACTGGGCCCCAGTTCCCCTATCTGTAAAACTGGACTTTTTCCAGTCTCTAGTTCTTTGGTTTCTTTGGCCAAAGCCCTGGGAGGCCGAGATCTAACTCTTCCTCCCCAATCCCCCGACCCCAGGCTGGCCGAGTGGCCTGTGCTGGTCCACAGGCAGGAGAGCAGGGTGGGGAGGGGCACAGTTCTGGTCCTGAGATTTCAGGGAGGCTGGGGGCTCGGATCACACAGTCTCTATTGTATTCGAGCCACTGGGGATTGAGTCCCTAAGAAACATCAGTCCCACCTGCCTAGCAACCCAGGTGGTCTCCCCAGCGGCGGCGTTGCCAGCAGAAGGAAGCGTCAGCAGGCGGCACTGCAATGCCTCGGCAGCGAGGGGCAGGCATGCTCAGCACTGGGGGGGGGGGGCACGCCAGGCAGGGCTCTTACTTGGAAGGTGTTAGACAAAGGTGTAGTGGAGTCCGTTGCTTAAGGGGGGGTAAGGTGGCACCGTCCTGGAGGACAGGGGGGCTTTAGGCGGGAGGAGGGCCAGCTGCTGCGCTAGACGGGCACACAGGAATTAAGCGGTGTGTTAGCTCCTCGTCCGCTCCCACAGCACCAGATGCCCCACTGGACAGGGCTGGGGTGGGCCCTGCTGCCCACCACTAATGGCCTGGGCTTGGGGGGCACATCCATGGGCCCTGGGGGGTGCTGGCTGGGACTGGCCTGCAGTTCCCAGCTGTCTTTGAGATGGAAAGAGGGAACAAGAGTGAAGACAGGCTGCAGCAAGGGGAGTGAAGGAGGCCCTGCTAACCGAACGCAGAGCTCAGGTCCGGGGCACGCTGCCCGCTGGCACTGAGGGGGCCAAGGACCGGAGGTCCACATAGTAGAGCAAGCACAGGCCGGACAGGAGGCGCTTCATGGTGGTGAGTAGCCCCTGCTGGAACCCTCGACATGGGCAGCAGCTCAGAAGTTGCTGAGATGGGTCGTAGGGAGCCCCCAAGATCATCAGGAGGCAGGGTCTGGGTGAGCCATCTACAGTATCCCCAGTCACAGGACGCCACACTGACCACCTCTCAGCCCACTCAGCACGTCCTCGCAGGGAGTCAGGTCAGTAGGGGCTTCGGAGACTCTGCAGGATCAGGACGTGGGGACAGAGAACAGGCCTCCCCTTGTCCTCAGTCATTCCCGTGGCTTCCTGAGGTGAGGATAAAGCTCTGCTCCCTAGACTAGACCCCCCCCACCCCTGCCCCGCAAGGCCAGTTACCTCAGGGCTCTGTAGGCCCCACCCTTGGTCATTTCTAGACCCTTTGGCCAGAGTTGGAGGCTTGGTGGGGAATGTGACACCATTTCAGGCTCTCTGACCTCTCTCTCCCCAGAAGGCCTAGAGCACCTCTGGCCAAGGGCACCTCCTAGACACACAGTGGCCGCTTCCTCTGGGGAGAAACAGTGCCAGTGAACTGTGAGGGCACACAGAGGTGGGGGAGATGTGGGCAGAGGGAGCAGCCACGAGTCTCTTTCCTGGCTGGGAGAGAAAGCCTTTTTACACAGGCACACATGTACAGACATACACACGTACACACGCACACACATATACCCCCTTCCATTTGTGGTATTTTTTTTCCCACTGACCAGCAAAGTCCCACTTCCCAAGTCTAGTTTTTGGGCACAGGTCACTCTGATAAGGTGCACAGTGGCTTTGATTTGCTGACCAAAGCAGGGGTCACAGGGAGGGCGAGAGGGGCACCCCATGCCTTGCCCCAGCAAGAAATTCAAGCACCAACGGCTTTCCTGCCCCCTTCTTCATGAGGCCACAAATCTTAGCCCTGGCCCCTTGGCTTGGGGGCCTGAAAAACCTGTTCTTAACTTGCAATCCCAGAGAAAGCTGAACAGCAGCACCACTCCCAGATTTAAGAATGAGCTAGAGACACCCTTTCCCAGACCCCTTTCCTCTGACACTTCTGCGCTCCGGTTCCCTCAGTGCCTCGCCTGCCCCCCTCATCTTCCACCAGCTCACCCTGCAGTGCTCACGGGAAAGGAGAACGCACCACTGGCTCCCAACTCCCAAGCCTGACACCTGGTTTTCCGCTAACTCCCTCACAAACCATCCTGGGATGCGAGCCCCAAAGAGCAGCGGGTGGGACCCGGCCTTGGAGGCCGGCATCTATGGCCTCACCTGCCACCTGCTTGCTGCGCTGGGATGCCTCGGAGGCCAAGGCGTAGGAGATGTTGATGATGCGCTCCTGCTCCTGCAGCTGCGAGTCCAGGTCGGCTGTGCTGTTCCTGTCCTGGCCTGATGTCGGCTGCAGGTTGCACATGCTGCAGAAGGGCCAGAGAGCAGGCTATGGGCCCTTGCCACCCCTGGCATCCACTTCAGGAGAGGAGGGGCTCTCTGGCCTGGAGGCTCGCCCCGTTTGGGGGGCATCAGATAAAAATGGTGCACTTTCTCTCTAGACAAAGGTGCACATGCTTCTCCCCACACATCCATGGCTCTGTTCTTTTTACCACTGTGCTCGGCTCCACTTCCTACACTTGCCAGGGTCACGGGACACCAGATGGACCTTCTGAGTGTTTCAGGACTCCCCAGATGACCGAGGCAAGCTTCCTTGCTGATCTGTGGGTGACATGCTGAGAGCCAGCCTGGCCCTTCCAATGAGCAGGGCTTCCCTGAGACGGAGGCCTGGCAAAACATGCACCCTAGCCGGCCCGAGCCACCCCCTGGGGTCAGGCCTAGCGGGCTGCCAGGACGTGGGCAGCACGAGGGCTGACCTGGAGCGGGCGAGGATGTTACGGATCTTCTCAGCTTTGCGATACCGCGCCCGCAGCTCCTCAAGGCTGGGTGGCTCTTCAGGATCCAGCTCCACGTAACGCTCGGGGATGGAGACCTTCTCTGGTTTAGACAGCTGAGGAGAGGACCAGGAGGCAGTGGAGGGAAGACTGAGACTTCTGGGTTACAGACCTGCTCCCCGCCCCGTCCCCTGGCCATGAGGAAGCACACGGAGCCCACAGAGGTTACCGACTTGCTAAGATCACAACAGTGGTCCACTGTGGAGTCGGGGTCTGACTCCAGACGCAAGTTCTCTCCACCATCCCAGACACCCTCCTATAGGCTGAGGGAAGGGAAGGGAGGAGCCAAAGAACTAGGCCAGAAGCCCTCACACAGAAATCATCCTTAATGCCACCTCCAATGTGACCCCTACAACCTCTGCAGCCACAACGACCCAGTGTGCAGCCTCTGCCTGGTATGCTCTTCCTTTTGCTCCAGTGACGTTCTCATCCTTCCGACCTCACTTCCAGAAGCCTTGCCTGACCCTCTTCCCACACCCCTCCGACTCTCTCTTGTTTTCTGTTCGTCTCTCTGCTGTCTAGTGCAGGGCCCTGGCTCTTAGTAGCCCTTCAGCAAACACTCCTTGGGTGGGTGGACGAAAGGAAGCGATAATGCTTTCTGTCCCTACAAAAGCTCCTCTGATCAGACTGGAGGCAGCCGTGCTGTATCTATTGCTTTCAAGAGGAAAATGGCCCTGACTGCTCCCCGAGTCTCCACACAAACCAGCAGCAAGCTCAGCTTGGTGAAATCTCGCTTGAGCTAAGAATGCCAAAGGCAACTTCTGCACACCCCGGGGAATTTTCTCCTCCTCAAACAACAAGAGCACTAAAACGGGGTTGGTTGAAGCTTTTAAAAACAAGCTAAATCCAATCCCAGGGCAAATCTGGACTCGAATTTAAATCCATGGACATCTTTCATTCTGGGGAAAGATGGCAAGAAGTAAGCTCTTCTCTGTTACTTCCAACAAGGGCAGATCCAGGGGAAGGAAGCAGATTACATTGTAGCAGGAGGGATTTAGGTTAGAGATAAGGAAGGACATTTTCCACTGCCTGGCAGGCCAATTAGGACACCATAACACGTACTTCCACTGCCAAGATAGTGTGTTGAAGCTTCTTTTGCAAATCTGAGAAGGCACAGACCTTTGGCTGTTTCAGAGGTGCCAAAGGGAGAAGGTCTAAGGGCAGAGGACTGGCCTCGTCTGCCCCTGGAGCCCCAGCTACCCTAGAACTCGGCAAGTCCATGGGCATCAGTTGCCTACACCCTGACGGAGCTCCCCTCAGGCGGTGAGAGTGTGTCCCCTCACGCAGTATCAGGGCAGGACGAGTCCTCACACAAACGCTCCTGGGATACCTGCGGGTCACTGTGCACCTCATCCAACAGTCATCATTCAGCAGACATTTACAGAGCGTCTACTGTGTGCCAGGCCCTGTGCCCGGTGCACAAAGCTGAACCAAACAGCCAGAGACTCTGCTCGACAGAGCTTACAAATGGCACGACATAGGCCAGAGGAGACACTGCGAGGCTGTCACCCTCCGATTCCCTCTCTTCCCTTGGGTAGAGACCTGCCCGTTGGTAGAGATCTAGGGGTTACTCGCTTTCCTGGGCCTGCCCGGTCATGATGCATTTGAGCCACCAGAGGGCGCCTGAAGAATTCAGATCAGAACTATGCAGGGATCACAGCCTCTGCCATGGCTGGAAATTTCAACTGTGATTTTCAAACCTGCTCCCCTTTGTCTCCCAGTCTGATTGCCCAAGTCAGCCTGACTGGCCAGTTGCAAAGCCAACCCCTAGTGCCCCAGGGAACATTTCCCTACAATCACAACTACATCATCACGTGCCCACTATGTGCCAGGCCCTGTGCACAGGGCTTCTGATCTTTGCCAATCCTCAGGGCGACAGGTTGAGTCACTTAATCCTCACCACAATCCATGTCACTGTCAAGGAAACTAAGGCACAGAGAAGTTAAATGACTTGTCCCAAATTAAAGAGAGAGAGATCTGAACCTGCATCAAAATGCCCGGGTTCCTTCTATTGCTTAAGCTGCTCTCCGGCCATTCTCCTGGGCCACACTGAAGCTCAGCCTTGTCCCTACTTAGGACAACACCTCCCAGTGCCATTGGGAAGGTGGATCAGGCTGGGAGCCCAGCGGCTGTGCCTCTTGGGGGTGGGGGGCACCAAGGAAGCCCCTGCCCTCACCTCTCTGCTGATGTCCAAGTCATAGTCCTGTGGTTCCAGGTCCAACTCAGTGACAGGCACGGCCTGTACTTTCAACCAGCCATTCTCCTCCTTGTCCTTCCTTTCCCCTTGCACGGCCCGCTCCAGCAGCTGCAGGTCAAAGTCCTGCTCACGCTTCCACTGGCAACAGAACAAGAGGGTTAAATGCAGTCCTGATTGCTAAAAGGGCCGCTCCGGTCCCCATGTGGATGGGTGTTTCAGGCCCTGGGGTCCTTGGGAAGATGAGCCTCTGGACATCAGGAAAAAGCTGTGTGACCACAGACCTCAACCTCATCTCTGAAACAAGGCAGCAGATTTGTGACACGGACAGTCCCTGCTGTGTGCTCTAACTCTCTGTAATGGAGAACGAGGCCTCTGTGCCTCTTACATGGCCTGATTCCAGATTGCTGATCTCTCTCTGATCTGGGCCCCCAGAGAGTTCAAACGTGCACTCCCAGGGCACAAGTCTAAGATGCATGACTTTAGACTCACAATGGCCCCCAGCAATACAGGAGGCTCCCAGGTCTGAGAGGGTGACCTCAAAACAGAACCTGAGACAGCTCCAGAGCTCCAGAATTTGCCCCTTCTGTTGCCCACAACTCGTAGGCGGGTTTCTGGTTCAGGAGCCATATGTCCCAGTTCAGGAATAATGAAAAAAAAAAACAAGCCATTTGAGGCCCTGGTAAGCAAAGAGAATAGCCAAGAGCCTCTCTAACGGGTACTCCCAACAGGATACATTTAGAGGTGGGGACACTGCACCCACAGTGGGGCTGGGAGGTCCAAGCAGGAGCAACTTGGGGCCAGTGGGGCAGATAAACTGCTGCGTACCACAGCATCCACTGTACCACCGCATCTATTTGAGGCAGGTGTTTTAAGTTAGAAAAACTGAAGCCATGTAAAGTTGAAGCACTAAATCGAATACATTCCCAAGGCTGTTCCTCAGCATCAACTTTGTAACAAGCGTCTCTTCAGGGAGGAAAATCTAAGCCAGCCATTTTAAGATCCAAGCACAGCTGTGTGGCTCCACGGTGGCCGTCCTAATCACCCTGGCCTGCGTCCTCACAGGCATCTGATGCTGAGCAGGTTGTTGAGAGGAGGGAACAGGCTCAAAGTCTCTCTCCTCTTGAGCAGGAGCCAAGCAGATGCTCCTCCATCCCACGTTGCCTCCTCCCTCCCACCCTATTCACCTCACAGAGCCCCAAGCGGTCACCTTGTTTGTGATACCCCTTCAAGCCCCCCCAAAGCCCGAAACCCATAGCCATATCAGCACATTTCCCCCATTCATGCACAAGCTCTCAATACTGACTCCAGACCAATGTAATCGCTCTTAGGTGACGGTTTCCAGGCATAGTATGAAAGGATTAGGCAGTTGAAGTTTCAGGGATGAAAAATTAATTTAATGATTCACAAAGAAAAGCACATTTTCTTACACGCTCACGAGTGCTCGAATAGAGACAAGTCCTCATTTAAACCCAGCCTGATTGTTTCCACAAACAGAAAAAGTTCACTAGACTCTACGATGTATCCTGGGGAAGAACCACGCCAATCCATCATCATTAAGCAACACGTTTATTGGCGTTGATGCAGAGACTTACACAAGTCTGTTTTAAGAAAAAAATTACAAAGTATTCAAGTTACGAGTTTTAGATAATCTTTCTACATTGAGACATCAGATTATAAAAGGTCAGTGTTACCCCATACGACATTTGCTCATAAAGTTTAAAAGTTATTGGCTTTGCAGCGTTTCAGGATGAGTATCCTGGGTCTTACCCCTTTGGTGTCTGAGCTAACAGCTGCAGAGGACCTCTGAATACAGAACATAGTATATCTTACAGATCATTCAAGGTATTAAATACTAGAAACAAAAAGTTCTCCATAAGAAATTGTGCAATGGGACTGGAGGAATTAAAACCGAACCAGCTTAGACTTGGTAGAATTTACTCAAACGTGCAGTCTCTGAAGCCTGTGTCCACTGTCCAGGCGTAAGGCATGGACTTTGAAAATTCATAATGCCCAGACCTCTGCCAGTGACCACAGCCCTCAGACAGCAGGCTGGCTCAGCCTTGGGCAGCTTTGGGGATGTGTAAATTATGAGTCAGTAGGCCTGCATGAAGGGGGCAGCAGAAAGGTGAGTCACACATGGGAGTGCTTGCTAGGCCACGGAGACAAGAGCTGTATTATAAGCCTGGTAACAGAGCACAGGCCAGTTAGAAAATGTTCAATGCAAATTAGAAGCTTCTGTAAACACAATCAGGCAGGATTAGAGAGGCAATGAGCGGTAATACTAAAAGCAAAAGAGCTTGTGCAATGAATTAGGGAAAGAACAGTCAGGCTAGAGGTCTCAGGAAACACTGGATTTCAAACAACAAGGGAAGTCACAGGCAATGTTTCCAAAAGGGACCTAAGGCGACTGTGGGCAGGGTGCAGAGCCTGGAAGCACCACCAGGGGGCAGCAGATTCCCTGGCTCTCCCGGGGCACCGTGAGGCCTGTCAGCACCACAAGCTGTGGGGAGAGCACAGCCTTCAGAGTTGTGTGGCACCACCCTGTGCTCAGCTGCCCCACAGGGCACCCGCTTGAAGTTTGGGAGGCTGGTTGGCTTGCATTCCTCATCAAATCACATCACCTTCTTCCTCCTCCACTTCTCGATCCCTGTCCTCCCAAGACCTCGATTCAGCTGAGACCTCTGAAGGCCTACAAAGGCCTCTCTCAGGCTCAGCTCGGACGGCTGACTTCAAGCATTTTCTCTGCTCCTGGGTTCCTGCCATCACATCCTCACTCCTGCTCTGGTTCTGCATCACTCTCTGACCAGGTCACACAGGTGGCCTGGGCTGTGGGCAAGCAGCCCGTGGGGTGTTCTCTGACCCACCTAGGTCAACGGCCCACTCTCTCAGGGGTGGCATGACATGCTTGTGTTTGGGAGACTCAGGGATGCTCTGCTCCCTGTCCCGGCCCCGCCTGCCTGGACCCTCCTAACATACTGAGCCGAGATCTCCAGGGAGCGGTTGGCTGAGGTAGCGGGACGAGGGCAGACCCGTCCTCTCTCCTTGGCTCAGCGTCCTCTTCCGCTCCCGAACCAGGGCCTTCTGGTGCCGCTTCATGCGCTCGAGCTGCTCCTCCGCACTCATCTTGCCCCGCTGGTGGTCCCCTGAGTACAGGCGCTCCAAGGCACTCTTGGGTCTCTGAGGAGAGGAGGGGAAGAAACAGACAGAGTCGCTGGGCTGGGCACACAGAAGGAGCCAAGCTGCCTGCTTCATTCCCGTTCTTTGCCTCTCTCTCTCTCTCATACACACACACACACACACACACACACTCTCTAGCTGGGCTCCTCTTGGCCACAGAGAACCACTTCCTCTAAGCACACTCATGGACATGATACTCTTGGTACCCTGCTCCCCATGGCAGCACCCATTCTGTAGATGCAGACAGTGAGGCCCAGGCCAGCCCAACTGGGCACACATGTAGCACATGATGGGCCAGAACTCAGCGTGCCAGACAGGCTGAAGAGGAGGGCAGAGGCACGGGAAATAGAGAGGCAGTGTGATGCCCCTCTTGGTGGGCAGTGGGGAAGGCATCACTGAACACATGGTGACAAGGACTCTGAGCTCAGGAGGGGCTGAGGTCACCTGAAAGGCCATCCCCAGGGCCCACAGGACAGCCAGTCACCGTCCACCTTAGAGCCCTTTCCTCTGTGCATGAGGGAGCAGCAAGCTCCTCGAGAACTTCTCAAGGCCACTCACAGGGAAGGTCACCTTGCCGCTTTCTGCATCGAGACCCCGCCGGAGCGTGACGTAGGGAGCAATGGTGGATGACTGCTGGAGCCTTGACGTGGACCCTGAAAGCCCTTAGTGAGGAAAGAGAAACGCAAGTATATTTGTGGTAGGGTGGACAAGCCAGCAGCCTCTCCCCAGTCACCTCCCACTCCTGTGAGGGGACCACCAGGGCCCAGCCAACAACCCACTCTTCTTCCTCTTCTTCCTCCCTAGGGCCTGGAAAAGCAAGGCCCTGGGTAGAGGGTGAGGGGCCAGCCCAGGGCTGCCCTCTGTCCCCAGTGGGGGACAGTGTCCCTGCAGATCTGTGGACTACCCTAGTCTTCCCTCACCTGCACAAGACCTGGGCTACTCGGCAAGTGGAAGGGATGGAGGGGTAGGAATCCCCTTTACCCTTTCTTCCCGATGAACCCCTATGCATCCTGCGTGACCCAACTCAGATGTCCTGCCTGTGGCTTCTGAAGGCTTCTGAAATGCCCCAGGTAGTACCAGTTATCTCCTATATCCCCAGTATATTTACTGGTTACTGCACTGACCACCACAGTGTCAACATACCCGTCCAACTAGACTGTAAATTCAACAATGCCTGCTTGACCAACTGACTGAACGAAAGAACAAATGAAAGAAGGTACCAAACATTTACTGAGCACTTACTATGTAACAGGCAGGCACTGTGTTAGGTGTTTTATAGAGATTTTTGTCCCACTAGCCCTACAATGTAAGCATTACCTGACCATTGTAGTGGGGCACAACGTAAGTCTCAGAGAGGTTCAGAGAGGTTAAGGAACTTGTCTAAGGTCACATGGCAGGAGCATGGTTGATCATGTGCTTCCCATGACTGGGTCCTATGACTTAGAGGAATCATCTCACCCGGGCTGGTACCACAGCCTGAGCTTTCTCCACTAGCAGCGATTCTTACCAAGGGTGGTCCCTGACATCTGGAAACGGGCAACACACTGACTGAGGACATCACAAGCATTTAGCAAATGGGAAAAAGAATGGCCAACGTCCTGGAATGCCCAGAGAATCCTGAGCAACAAAGAACTGTCCTGCCCAGGATGCCACTAATATTGCCATCGATAAACACCTCTAGGCTGTAATGAAGGAAGGGAATAGGGCCCCCGGCTGTAGTGCCAAGGGTTGCTGAGGCTCAGCTCAGCAAAATCCAGAGCCCACACCCTCCAGGGACCAGCTCAGGCCTAGACAGTGCAGTGGGCTGGGAGTCACATAACCCCGCAGGTGTCAGAACCATGGCTGTGTCCCCCTGCTTCTGCACCTGGCCAACGGGCGGAAGCAGCCCTCCCACCTCTGGGCGCAGACAGGAGGATCAGGTGAGGATCAGATGAGGGAATGTGGTCAGCCTGCTCAGGGGTTCCAGGAGGCCCAGATGCAGAAAGGTTGGGAGGCCTCCCTTTAGGGGGATTTCTAAGGAAGAGGGTCTTGGCTATGAGGAGGCCCAATTGAGGAAAAAACTGTGTTTGTTTAAAGAAAGGACTCATTGAGTCTTAGAGTGACACAGAAGGGGAAAAAACCCTCAGGAAGGCCTGAGATGCCCAAGCTGATGCAGTCACCCAACATCCCAGCCTACAGGGGGCACTGGCTCTGGGGCCAGGACAATGAGATTGTATTCTTGCTCCATCACTTATTGGCTAATTGACAAGTTATTTAATTTCTCTGAGCCTTAGTTTTATCATCTCTAAAATGCGGATAACAACAGTACTTCCTTCATAGGATTCTTACGAATATTGACTACGTGAATATAAAGTGCTTAAAACAGTGCCAGGCTTTACAGTAATTGCTATTATCATTGTTCTGGGGGTCAGATGTAATAAAAGAGGAAGAGAACCAGGATGGGGGCCAGAGGGAAGGAGGACAGGCCTTCCCTCACAGCTGCTGCCCATGCTGAGGCCCACAGCTGTAGACAGAAGAGTGCGAGGTACCAGGTGAGGGTTGGGGAGCAGTGGTGTGGTGGTGGTGGGGGTTCCCAGGAAGACTCATGGAGAGTCTCGCCTTACCTCTGCCTGGCAGCGTCTGGTACCTGCTCTCAGATCCCACGAGTCCCAGGGAGGGCGGGGCCAAGTCTCCACTGAAGGTCGCCAGCTCAGGCTCACTCACATATGACCGGAGCTCCACCTGTGGGCAGAGTCTGAGGCTGCCATATCTGCTCTGCGTCAGCCGCCTTCCCTCCCCCTAGCACAATGGGGCAACCCCTGGGCTCCTTCCTGCTCACCCTCGAGTCCCCGTTCACACACTGCCCTTGCTCCCGGTCCCGCTTCCTCTCGTCCGACTGCCGCTTGAGGCCCCTCACTGAAGTGTGCCGGATGATGGTGGCCTCCCTGGGCAGAGGTGGCACGGCTGGGGGCTGGTCCTCTGGGCTGTAGAGCTCAGGGAGTGGGGGCCTGGGTGGTGCCTCATCTTCCTGCTCAGAAAAAGAACCAGAACCAGTGCACAGTGAGAGGGAGCTGGAGGGAGAACACTGAGTCGTGGCCCAAAGGGCAGAGCAGTGCACTGCAAGACCACTTTAGCCAAAAGACGCCAACCTTGGGGCTGGCCTGGTGGCGCAGCGGTTAAGTGCACAGGTTCCGCTTCGGTGGCCTGGGGTTCACAGGTTCAGATCCCGGGTGTGGACATGGCACTGCTTGGCAAGCCATGCTGTGGTAGGCGTCCCATGTATAAAGTAAAGGAAGATAGGCACAGATGTTAGCTGAGAGGCAGTCTTCCTCAGCAAAAAGCGGAGGATTGGAAACAGATGTTAGCTCAGGGCTAATCTTCCTCAAAAAAAAAAAAAAAAAAGACACCAACCTTTCCCCTAGCTGACCTGTGAAGAAGGGAGAATCCCCTTGTTCCATCTCTGTTCTTCCCTTTGATTCACACATTCTCTATTTTTCAAAGTGTTACCTACACAAAGTCCAGACTCAGTGTCCTGGGCCCATGTTCTTGCTCCACATGCCTGGAGTGTGGCGTAGGGGCAGCAGGCCAGTAACTCTGCACTTGTTTACAAGTCTATGACAGCACCCCCTCCACCCCGCACCTGGAGAAGAAATGCTCACCCCATTCCACAGTGCTCAGACTGAGCAGCCCCTGTCCCAGCACAGTCCCTGATCCTTCAGCAGGCTGCCCTTCCCATCAGAAACGTGCCTGCTTACACAATACTCCCTCCGTCCGGACTCAGGGACTGAACAGGCAGTCGGGGTGGGCGGATCACTGCCTACCCTGCAGCCCACTCTCTGGGTCGCGATGAATGCAACTATTTTCCTTGAGACCCCCTGTCCACAATGCTCTGAGGGCTGTGGCTTCTCTATAGACCAACAGCCTGGCCCCTGACTGCCAGGAACACCCACTCCTGGGACAAACGACCATGGAGCCTCCTGCCTCCTAAACTCTCCCATTCTTAGTCTAATTTTGCTCTGTTTTTCAGAATTTTGAGGAATTCAGGAAAGGGTGCTGCAAGCTTGCTTTGCAAAGGTTTATCAGCATTCTTCCAAGGAAACACACTTCATTATTGTGTGAAAGTTAAGCTGCCTACCCAAGATACACGTTAGGCTCTTTGAGCATCAGCGGTTTCCAACCCTGACAAGATCATGGAATTACCACATTTTTACAAAGCTCCCCAGAAAGATAAACACAAAACAGTGAGTGCCCTTGATTAAAGGGAGTAGAATGTCTGGAGACAGAGGGTGGATGGGAGACAGTTATTATATACTTTTTTATATCTTTTGACTTTGTACCCTTTGAGTTATTATCTAATACAAAGGTAAATAGCATTAAATTCAAGAAAATAAGCCAAATAAAAAAGTGAAAGAACTATAGCTACATGCAACAATGTGGATGAATCTCACAGATATTATGTTAAAGAAAAGACGTAAGATGTAAAAGAATAAATACAGCACAGTCACGTGTCTCAACAAGAAGCGCATTGTTAGGTGATTTTGTTATTGTGTGAACATCATAGAGTGTGCGTACCCAAACCTAGATGGCAGAGCCTACCACACACCTAGGCTGGATGGTACTAATCTCATGGGACCACCACCGTATATGTGGTTTGCCACAGACCAAAACGTCGTTATGTAGCACAATGACTGTGTTATATATGGGCAAAATGAAAGTGTTAAGAGATGTAAACATAGATAGTAAAACTAAAAAAGAAAAAAAAGGGAATTATCCAAAAAGTCAAGATAGTGGTTATGTCTCCCAGTAAGGGCCTACACTGGTGCAGCCACTATGGAAGTTCCTTAAAAAATTAAAAATAGAAATACCATATCACCCAGCAATTCTACTTCTGGGAATATATCCGAAGGAAACAAAAATGCTATGTGGAAGAGATATCTGCACCCCAATGTCACAGGAGCACTATCCACAACAGCTGAGACATGGCAATGACCTAATTGTCCATCAAGAGATGAATGGATAAAGATGATGTGGTGTATATACAATGGAATATTATTCAGTCATAAAAAGAAGGAAATCCTACTATCTGCAACAATGTGGATGGACCTTGAGGCATTATGCTAAGTGAAATGTCAACACACAGAGAAAGACAATACTGTATGACCTCACTTATATGTGGAATTTTTTTTTTTTTTTTGGTGACGAAGATTGGCTGGCCCTGAGCTAACATCCTTTGCCAATCCTCCTCTGTTTTGTAGACGGGATGCTGCCATGGCATGGCTCGACAAGCAGCATGTAGGTCCACGCCTGGGATCTGAACCTGCGAACCCTGGGCCACCAAAGTGGAGCACGTGAACTTAACCACTATACCACCAGGCTGGCCCCATATGTGTGATCTTAAAAAAGAAAAAAACAAAAAACAAAGAAACAAAAACTTCAATAAAAAGAGATCAGACTTGTTATCAAAGGCAGAGGGTAGGAGGCAGGGGAACTGGAGGAAGGTGGTCAGAAGGTACAAACTTCCGGTTATAAGATAAACAAGTAGTAGGGATGTAATGTACAACATGACTACAGCTAACACTGCTGTATGAAATATGGGAAAGTTGTTAAGACAGTAGAGCCTAAGAGTTCTCATCACAAAGAAAAAAACTTTTTTTCCTTTTTTTCGTATCCATATGAGATGATGAATGTTAACTTATTGTGGTAATCATTTCACAATATATGTAAATTAAGTCATTATGCTGTACATCTTAAACTTATACAGTGCCGTCAATTATGTCTTAATAAAATGCAAGGAAGAAAAAAAAGACAGGGCCTGCACCGGGAAGGGATTGACATGCCTGAGGGCTTCTGGTTGCTGGCAAAGTTCCATTTCTTGGTTTGGGTGTTGGTAAAACATGGGTGGTCTCTTTATTATTATTTCTTAAATTATATACTCATATTTTATGTTAATTTCAGGATGAATAGCAGTGTTTTCACAAATATAAATTTTAAATGAGCAAACAACAAAAATATGGTAAAACTGGTGAGCACACATACGTTACTAGAAGGAGGGGAGAGAAGACCCCCCTGGTGACCCTGATGCTGACTGAACCAAGCTGAAGAGCCCGGTCTGGAGCCACAGAGGACAAGCTGTGAAGAGGAGCCCCTGTCGTCCTCTGTTCCAAGCTGCTTGTTCTGCACAAGAGCAAACTGAGGAGGCTCAGAGAGGGGACGGGTCTTGCTAAGGAGCCGGTGAGAGAACAGCACTGGGATCCAGGCGGCCCAGCTCCCAGGCTGGCACCTTTTCCCTCTGCTGCTTGTCCCGGCTGGCAGGGCATTTTGCCCTATGTCAGCAGCATCTGCCCCAGCCATTCTTGCTGTTTTGCTATTTTCCTGCCTCCTGTTTGGCCGCTGGTGCCCCACCCTCTTACATCTGGGATTGGGAAGGAGATCTCAAGATGAAGAAATTCACAATGACTCTGGGTCCCGGCACCTGTCTTCCAGCTCTGGGGCCTGGGCTGTGGCTGGAAGCAGGTGGGCAGGGAGGAGCTGGATATGGGAACACGTGCGTTTCACCCAGCGCTGAGCACCAACCTTGTCAGAGGTCCTAGGCACACATGGTGTCCAGGCAAAGCTCCTCTAAGCCTTTATTGGCAAAGACCTGGAGGTCCCCATTCCAAGGTCCCCTCTGCTATGACTTCCCTGTCACTTGGACCAGACCCCTTGTGTTCTCCAGCCAAGGCTGGCCTGGCCCTGGAGACAGGAACTGTCAAAGTACCTGAACACAGCTCCTATTTCCTTAGTCTCCTGTGCTCCCAGACTCTGCCAAAGGCTTGCCCCTCTCTACGCCAGGCAAGCCAAGGTGTTGGCCCAGGCAACCACAGGGCCACAGCTCTGACCTGAGGACCTGGGCTGACGGCCCAATTAGAGGCAGATGGCACAGAGAAGGGTCAGGTGATGTGGACTGCATCAACTAACTAACATGGAGACCTGAAGCAAATCGTAACACCTCTGGGCCTCAGTTCTCTTATCTGTGGGGTGGGGACACTGACCCTCCTGTCTATACTCCATGCGATTATTGTGAAGAAAATGTGTCCCACAACCCAGCAGAGTGCTCAACTGCAAGCGAAGGGAAGGATACTCTTCTGCTGAAAGAGCCCATCGCCCACAGGCCTGTGTAAGCAGGTTTGCACACAGCCCTGCACGGGGCAGCACACGCCTCTCGGCACCGTGCAGAGCACAGAGTTCACAGACTCAGCACAGTCACTTCCTCTTGGTGGGCCGAAGTTTTCCCAACTGCATAACAGGAGGGCTGGACTAGACCATCCCTAAGGGCCCTTCCAGTTCTGGGGGCCTAAGGCACAATGGCAGGGCCCTACCACTCCTTAATCACTCATGGCTCAGGACTCCCTCAGGACTCAGGCTGGTTCCTTCTACTCAAGTTTCCCCAGAAGCTTCTCTCCCAAGAGAGGCTGACCTGGGGACAGAGGGATAATCATCTGGTGGAGAGGGATGACGGCTCAGCTCTAGGTCATCAATACTTACTACTTTGGGCTTTGTCTTGGTGGGTGACTGGAGGGGGGACGTCACTTTCCTCAGCTGGGGCGGATGAGGTCGGTAGGGCATGTAGGTCTGCAGTTGGGGGAAGAGTCGGACCTCCAGAGGGGTCCGCACAGGGCTGGTGGGAGGGCTGGGCTGCGGGGGTGGCTTGGTCTCTGTGGTCGAGGTTGAGAGTGAAGGCACAGGCGGGTGAGTTAACAAAGGCACCGTCTTCCTCTCTAGGGGTGGGGACGAAACACACGATGGGATGAACAAGGACCCTCCTCCTCCAAGGACAAGAGGAGTGACAGGGCCTGGAGACCCAGCTGCCCCCAAGCCCATCCCACCCACCTGGGCACTGGCCTCCAGCACTCCCACCCCCAGGAAGATGGCACACTCACCAGGATTTTTGACTGATTCCACCAAGATTCTGAAGTTCTCTTTATTTGCACTCAGGCCTGCGATGACGTCTTCAATCCTCCAGAGATCCTTCTGTATCTGTGATTTCTCCTGGGGAAGACAAAGTGGTGGTTCATTTCCTTCTTAACTCCTTACCAGAAGTTTCTTATTAGGACTTACACTGGCATTTCAGACAGCGCCCCTCACCCTGGGGGGCAGCATCCCCTTTGGAAACCTCACCAGGGCTAGAGCCAAGACTGCTTCGCAGCATCAGAGGGAAGCGCAGACAGGGAAAATGCCCAGGATCTGGGGGAGACATTTCAGAGGAGCCCTCGCCAGTCCACTTTGCCTATTTCCAGCTAACTTAAAAGTAGACTGCCTTAAATACTGTAGATTCCACTTAAATGAGGTGTCTAGAGTAGTGAAAGTCAGATAGGAGAGTGGTTCCCAGAGGCGGGGTGAGGGCAGGGGTGGGGCCATGGGGATTGTTGTTTAATGTGTACAGAGTTTCAGTTTTGCAAGATGAACAAACAGTTGTGGAGACTGGGTGCACAACAATGTGAATTTACTTAACACTACTGAATTTACTTAACACTACCTTTGAAAATGGTTAAGGTGGTAAATTTTATGTTATGTATATTTTATCACAATTTAAAAAAATAGACGGTCTTAGGAAACCATGGCAGAAGGGAAGAGAAGGCACCGACTAGAGGTCATGCCATCCCGAGAATCTAAAGAGCATTTCTCAAAGGATAAAGCTGATCCAAGAGATTTGAGGCTTAGTTAAGAGTACGGTGGGGAATATTATTTGCCCATAAAAGGGATGAAGTACTATACACCATGGAAGAGCCTGGAAACCATGATCCTCTGTGAAAGAAGTCCGACACAAAAGGCCACATATTGTAAGATTCCATTTATATAAAATGTCCAGAATAGGTAAATGCGTAAGGACAGAAAGATTAGCGGTTGGCTAGAGCAGGGGTGGGCAGCTGGGGGTGGAGACGGGGAGTGACTGTCACTGGGTACAGGGTTTCTTTTTCAGGATGATGAAAATGTTATAAACTGGATTGTGGGGGATGGTTGCACAACTCCAAATATTCTAAAGACCACTGAATTGTACACTTTTAGAGGGCGGATTTTATGGTATGTGAGTTATATGATACAGCTGTTATTTTTTAAAAAGTACAATGGGAAAAGAGCCAGGCTACATAATGACATGCACACTCAGACAAGTTCCAACCGAAATCAGACAGGAAGAGGCGCTGGAAAGAGGTGAGCAGGGGCTGCCATGGTTAAGGGACCGCGGGCATCTTTTAAGAGCAGTTTAAATATCAGATGTAGTATTCTTTTAATTTCCATGTTATAGTAGGGGCAGATAGCCTTGGCCCCATCCCAGGGACTGCAAAAGGAAGGTTTCACACCCCCATCTCCTCTCAAGGCACCGGCTGCCCTCAATTGGAAGAGTTCTCTCTCAACGCTGCATATTTACAGACATGCCTGATTCTACAACTAGACCATGTGTTCCCTGACATTCCCACAGGGCCAGGTACTTGGCAGGTTCTCAGTCCGTGTGTGTTGAATGAATAAAGGATCAATTACGTAAAATTCCCAGATCCAATACTTCCCAACAGCCATGACAACAGACGTCTGAAGTCTCCCGTCCTAAGGGGGTTCCCGCTCTCATACTCTGTCCACCCTCCCAACACCATCGCACATCCTCAGGACTGACAAGCAAATAACGGGCTTGATGTTCAGCTTCACACTAAAGTATGAGTGTCCCAAAACAGATGTGCTACTGAACCCAGAGTGTGTCTGTAAGCTCACGGGATTGCATCTAGGGCTGTGGTCCCCAAGTGGAATGCTGAGGACAGGTGAAGGAGGAGCACGGGATTAAAATCAACTCTTGCTCTCCTCCTCTGCCGGTCTGCCTGGCATATTTCTACCTGTCACTCCAGTCAACAATCCTGCCCCCATATGGCCTTTCTGTCACCTCCACATGTACGAGGAAAGCAGAGAGATGCAATGGCTGGAGAACCTCTATCTTTCTACAAGGGTAACGAATTTAATAACTTAATGACAAAGTGAAGAAACCTTCTGGGGAGCAAAGAGGTGGGGTTTCATTCCTATAAGCTCACACCATGCCAGGCAGAAGGGTTCCTATGTACTATCCTCAGCAGAGGCTGAACCCATTGTCCGGAAGTAGGGACACCCACAGGGAGCCTCCCCTATTGCTGCCGCCCACAGTTACCCGGATGTTCTTATATCCTCTGGCTTCCCCACCCAGGTGGCCATGAGGATCTCCATAAATAAAGACACTCTACTTTACTGAAAAGGTTATGCATTTTCTCACAGCCAAGCGTGGCTGACGGGAGGTGAGTTTCCAAGCCCCTTTACTGAACATCTGCATGTGGGGCTGCAAGCTCATCTCCAGTGTTAGTGATTTATTCAGGACTCTAACAGCTTGCCTGGCCGAGAATTATACCAAAGAAATTAGCACAGAGTTGCTCAAAGAAAGGCCCTGGGAGCTTCCCAGGTCATTGCAGATTCAGGCAAAGCATGAGCAATGCCACCCACCTAGGGGGAAATCTACCTGCAGGGGCCAGGCTCCGAAGTGGCCTACCTCCTAGTACCTTACAGGCCCAAGTTCTCCAGGGAGTCTGCGACAAGGCCTGTTACATTGTACCCACTGTTTTTCAGAGGAGAACAAAGGATTCTGGGCCTGCTGTCTGTTAAATCACCAAGAAATAAGGCACGGCAGAAATACAAATGGCCAATAATCATATGAAAAGACGTTTAACCTGCTGGTAATTAAATAAATGCAAATTAAAACAAGATGTCCTTTTTCAGCCAGCAGACTGGCAAGAACTAAAAAGACTGATAACATCAAGTGCTGGCGAGGATGTGGGCAAACAGGTTCGGCACTCTCATTCACTGTGGGTGGGAGGGCAAATGAGTCCAGCCTTTCAGAGGGTCATGTGGCAGTGTCTGTAAACATTCAAGACGTACACTCATCTCAACCCAGCAAGTCTACTCCTAGGAGCCCTGGATAAATGCTTGTAAATGATCTTGAAAAGGCAGTTTGACAGATGCTTACTGTGGCACCGTTTATAAAAGCAAAACACTACAAATAACTTAAATGCCCATCAGAAGAGGAATGACTAAATAAAGTGTGGAACATCTAGATTATGAAATGCTATGCAGCAGTTAAGAACTAATTTAATTTCATTTACTTAGACCAACACTGTCTCATACGACTTTCTGAGACTATGGAAATCTATAGAACGTGCTTTCCGAAGAGTAGCCATTGGCCACGTGTGGCTACCGAGCACTTGAAATGATTCCAGTGTGACTGAGAAATATATTTTTAGTTTTAAGTTAACTTTAATTAATTGATGTCTAAATTTAAATAGCTACCATATTGGGCAGCATAAACTTGGGGGTATACATCCTGGAAAGATTTCCACAACATAAAGTTATGACAAAAAAGGGAGTTACTGAACAATGTGTAAGTGTGATTCCTCTTTAGGTAAACACAACTCGCACCCCTAAATAAACAATATGATTCTATGTATGTGAATATGTGTAGACATACATAAAAAATGGTCCAGAAGACAAGGCTGCAAACTGATGGGATGGCACAGAGGGGGGGCGATGGGACTGGGGCAGAGGGGAGGAAGGAAACAGGAGATTTTGTTTCTTCTTTTTGTTTTTGCTTCTCACTCTTTGGCCTTTTCAGAGAGTAGCATTCATGTGTCACTTGTATAATTATAGAAATGTAATGAATGAAAAGCTAAAAAAAAATTACTGCTAAAATTAATGTGGATCATTGAAGTTCAAGAAGTGTGACAGGACAGTTTAAGGAACTAGCAATTGTTTGAAGGACTTTGTCAACTATATTCACCTAGTATTTTCAAGCCACTGTGCTAAGTGCTGGGGATATGAAAAAGGACAGGAAAATGTTAGTCAAGCTCACATGAAGCGGAATTATGGGAAAAAAACAACAGTAGCAGGAGACAGACAAGTTCTAGGAAACCTCGTAGGCCTTCCCTGGGTGAGGCTAACGTCCAGAGAGTCACCATATTCATTAAGTCACTTGAATGAAGAGCCTTGGCTAGAACTAGTTCATCAATCAGCAAGTCTAGCCCCAAAACTGGCCTAGCATGGTGCCTCAGACACAAGAAGCCTCAAGTAATGCTTGCTGAAGGCAAATAAGTCAAATTTATGTCAGGGCTCTGAAAGAGGAGATATGGATCTGAAGCTGGGTTTGGAAGCAGGTTATTTTCCATTTTTACAATTTAGAGGGTGGAGTGGAAGCCTGGTTCAGCACTGCAACGGGGGAGCACTGAGAGCTGGAGGACCCAACCTGGAAGAAGGAAAACCACACAGGGCCTTTCATTCTCTCCCCTGGGGGGGCAGAGGCAGTAATCAACAGCGTGGCCTGGTCTTTAAGGGTAAGGGAGGCAGGGCTCTAAGGCTGCCTTTCCTGACTGGGGCAGGGACCACAGTGATGGGTATCTCCCAGCTTGGCCTCCAGAAATGCAAATGACCGCCTGCCTGGAGACCAGAGGCACCTCACGGGCCTGAATTCACACTCCTCCTCTGGGAGGCTTGATAACATCTATTGTTAGGAATCAGAGGAGGGAAGGAGGCCAGGGCTTCCTGCTGCTGTCTAAGTGAGTAGCTAGAAACCCAAGACGGGGCCAAGAACCATAAGAACACAGATCACTCTCAAGTCTCTGTAAGTTCTCAAAGTTGGTATTTGTCTCCTCTTGGGTCTGTGTGCCCAAATGATCAGCAGCAAAACCCTTACAAAAATGCCCAAGAGCTTGTCTTTGAGAGCAGAGAGGCAGGGGGAGCTGAGCGGAGGCTTATCACAGCCTGGCTGGGGAAGGGATCCCCAAGGGAAAGCAAGGAGTGGCAAGCAGGCTGTCCCAGTGGAGGAAGAGAAGGCCCTTGGGTAGGGCTGACAGCACCCGCAGGTGAAGGGTCTCAGAAGAAATCAGAGCTCAGAAGGGATGAAGAGCCTTTGGGTCACCTGGAAAAAAAACGCTCTTCTGTGTTGCTCCTGCAGGGTCTGCTTCAGCTGCTCCACATCTCTCTCCAACTTCAGGTATTCGTTCCAGGCATTTTCCATCTCCTGTTGGCCAAGGAAACGCTTCTGTTTCTTAGTTACCCCTGCCCCCGAGAAAGCTCCAAGAGCACCTATGCTCCTGACCACTGCCGACGCAGCCAACGGGAAGGGGAGCTGCGCGGGTCTCAGGCAGGCCTTGTGAGAGAGGGACAGGGGCTGTTTTCTCAATCATGCTCTGTCCTGGCCACCTGCACTGTCCCCTCTCCCACCCTTGGGGATGCTTTGAGTCCCAGTCCGGCAGAAAGGGCCTGCATCACATCAGATGGACAAATAAAAAAGAGGAAATTCTGACATGTCAGAAATAACTGCACACACATCAGGGGAGTAGCCTTCAGGCTGCTCTCAGATTTCTGGTCCCTTGGGTGTCACTGTGGCTATCCAGGAGTCGCTGATGAAAACACCCTAAGGGACCAATCAGACAGACAGACATGCCACCCCTGGACCAGGTAAACTACTGTTAGGAGGCAGCCTGGAGAAGTTCTGCTATTCCAGGACAGTTGTCCCTGGCCACCAACTCAACTACAGCCTGGGGGATGAGAAAAGCAGCCCCCTGCCAGCCCGTCCTGAGCGGGAAGTGTCTGCCTCCCTCCACACCCTCTACGCACAGTGGACTCTCTGCAGAGCTCCGCCCGGATGTGGACGAGGTCCTCCTGCAGCAACCTCTGCTGGTAGGCGATCTTCTCCAGGTGCTGGGGCTGCTCTCGGTACTGCTCCATCTGTCTGTGCAGCACCTCCAGCACGGACTCTAGCTGGTCCTGGACAGTGCAAGGGCCAAAGAGCAAGAGGGTAACTGGACAGTCTCCGGAGGCCTCCCTCTACCAGGCTGAGGACTAAACAAACCTGCTGATCTAGCCGAGGCTGAAGGAGCCAGTGCCCAGCTGGGGCCTGAGAGTCAGGGCCCCTGATTCCAGCCCTCGCTCTGCCCACTGGGTGGCCTCCTAGGACAGGTCACCTGAAAGCTTTGTGCCTTAGTTTCCTCATCTATAAAGTGGGCATAAAGCTATCAACTCCTGTGAGATAAACTATGAGGATAAACCAAAGAATGGATAGAAAACTCTCTCAGCTCTAGGGAAAAGGGGCATGTTATAAACCCTCAGCATCATTACAATGCCTTATTAAAATGCAAAGAAGAAAAAATTCACTTTAATGGTCTAAGAGACCAAACATTGGCAGCTCCCTGGGCTACTCCTGCCTTTCCAGTCGGACTTGCTTCCTCCATAGGCCAGATACTGGGAGGAAAGGAGCTTTAGGAAGCCAGGGTCTCTGTCCTGTTATCACTGCAGCCACTTTCTCCAAGGCGGGCCCCCTCCCTGGTGGCATCACATTTAAGCCAGTGGAGCTCTCCTCTCCCAGACTCACCTCACAGGGCCGCCAGGGAGAGGTGGGCCAGAGCGGAATTAAGAGGGGTGAAGGGGGAGGCAGTACTTGGAATAGGTAGGCCACTGTTTCCCTATAAGGTTTCCTCCAGGTTCAGACAGAAACCTTCTAAGAAATACCCTTTAAACCCAAAAGCATTGTTCGGATAAACTAACACCTGTTGTCCAATACCAACATCATAGTCCAGTCACTATCTGAGGAAGGACAGGATGACAAAACGCCCCTCCACTCAGCCCAAGATTATGAAAACTGACGCATACTTTGTTCTCCTTGAGGGCTCGAATTTTGTCTTCCAAGTCCTGGAGGATCCTGTCTTGTTCACAGAAGACGCTCAGTTTGACCTACGAGCAAGAACAGGTTGGAGAGGGCCTGGGATGATGAGAAAAGGGCATGGCCTTGGAGTGTGATCAGAAAGACTTTGGCCACAGAACCATCCAGACCCTGCCCGAAGCTGCCCACCCTGGGACCGGGGGCAGCAGGCAGCCCAGGGGTCAGCCTGTCACTCTGCTCACTCACGTCAATGTCACTCTCAGCGATCTTCACCGGCTTCAGGCTTCGATCTTTGAGAAGGTCCCGGCCTGTCATCTGGGAAGTGAACAATTTAAAGGAGATTTAACCACGGGGCTCAGGATCAGAACTCGAGAAGGAAAGTTACCCCACGATGGATGGGTGTGGCAGTTTCGACAGTGGCACGTAGGGTCACTACACAGAAGGGGCAGAAACTTGGGCAATTCTTGCTTTGTTTTTATGCCTATTTCATTTTAGGGAAAAAGCAAAACGTTTTTGAGATCCTAGTAGCACTCATAAATTTTGCAAGACAAAGAAAATGCAGACATTCAAGTTATAGGATCATCAATTGTTGAAGCTTATAGTTGCCAAAAATGAGTTCAGTATGAATCTTGGAAAATTTGCCACTGATGAGTGAGAGTTTTGATACTGAACCTGGGCTAAGATACAAGTGGCAGAAGTCTGTCACCCCCGCCCAGGGCAGTGGGGTGAGTGGACCAGGAGAGACAAGCAAGTCCTCTGGGGCGTTGTCAAGCCTAAGTTTAAGGAAGTCTCTGAGCAGCCCACCCCCATGAGTGACCCTGGCCTTCCTCAGCCTACACTGTTGTCTGGGAAGAGGATATGGCCAAGGGAAGAAGGAACTGGATAATTCCTGGGTGGGGTTTTTACTTGATCCCCAGTAGCTGAGGCTAAGCCGTACTTGTAACACAAGTTACAGGTTACTCTGACCTCTCAAAAGGAAACCACAAAGCAGCAGACAAAAATCACCCAAACTTGTGGGCCAGTGGAATTCCACATTTCCCATCCCTCCCTTGACCCAGCATGGGTGACACGTTGCCCATCTCTCACTGACCCCTACGAAGCTGAACCCAACTGATTAGCCCATGTTTTCATTTCCCCAAATCTCTTTCTTGCCAAAAGCTGTGCAGGGGACGGGGGACCCTTTTCATAGATGCACCCCACAGCCAAGCCAGGTCAGGGACAGCCAGGTCAAATGTGCCTCGAGGAGGGGAGGATGTCTTGCTGAACTCCATTTTGCAAGTATGACCAGGGAAACGGAGGGTGGAGCCATCCACAGCAGAAATAGGTGGTGTGTAGACTATGCAGAGCATCCTGGTGTGGATGGACAGACAGCTGCTCCCTACTCCATCTGGGAAGTCCAGGACATTTGTGAGTACGAATCAGAAGCAGAAAGACATTGGCAAACATTCCCCTCAGAACTCACTCTAACCATGTGGCCAACTGTCCTACACTCCTCCTCCCTGATAAGCGTCATCAGCAAATCCAAGGGTCAAGGTCGAATGCCCTCTCCATGCCTTGGGCTGAAGACTGAGTCAGGGCTGCAGACTCGCCTTCATCTATTCCCATGCTCCCTTTGTCACACAGTAGAGGACAGGGACCACTGTCTTATTTATCTTAGTGGAGTCAGCCCTCAACATAAGGCCTGGCAGAGCAGAAGGCACTCAGCAAATGCTTATTGCATTGCAGGTAGGTCAAAGGGAAATCCGTGTCGGTCAGTGCTGTAGAGTGCCTGGAAAAAGAGGAACTCCAGCCAAATTCTGCTCTTCAAACTGGCAGATTATGTGTACATACATGTATACACACAGTCACAGAGCACACTGACTACAGCAACAATTCACAAACAGACAGGCCATGCTGGCTCCTGCAAGGGTGGAGGGAAGAGGAAGGGGAGGAAGTGGAATTAATCCTGGTCAAGCCCAACAGCTGAACTTGCCAGGCAGGACTTGGGCCTTTAAACTCAGGGGAACCCAGCAGGTAAAGGTAGGAAGTCTTCACCCTGTGTCACAGTCCTTCACCAAAGCGAGGGACAGTGAGCTTGTCTACTCTCCAAGGGGCTGACTCTTGGCTCGTTTCCTAGGAAGAAATCATTTTCAAATTGAGCTATGTTTCATGGATTTTTCCCCCCAGCAAAACTCTTCCCCTTATTTCACTGAAGCTTTTTACAGATGACATCTTTTTGATGCTGAAATAGCAAGGCAGAGCATCTAATTGAGCAATGCCTCCTTTAACCAGCACCATCAGGAAAGGAATGGGGTATTCTACACAAAAAGGGCATTTTGAGAAAGCTGAATCTTTTAAACTTTTTGATGGAAAGCTTTCTAAAAGCATGCCCTTCACTGCCTTCATAGAATACGGAATATAAATTCAAGCTTATTTTGGATGAATCAGAGTCATTATAAAAATCAGTAACATAGAATTTCTTAGAAGCTGGTTTAGGACTATTTGCCCCTTGCTTAAATGCTCCCAAATTTCTGTGCTTTCATTTCCGTTTTAGGTTGACATATAACATTTCTTCTCAGGATACTAGTGCTCCCTCTTTTCTAAGAAGTTTCTCTTGTCCCCTTTAAGGTGCTGTGAGTTAGGAATGCTAGTGACTGAGTCTGTCAGGATTAGCAACAGAAGCAACACACCTGCTGCTCTTCCCTCCCTGCCTCCCGCCAGCCAGCAAGGGAGCCATCAAGGGAGATCTTCCTGCACCTGTGTCTCCCACCGCTACGGGCCTTAGGACATCAGACGACGTGTTCCATCTCCCCTCACTAGATAGGAACCTAATTAGGGGTGACCGTGGGAATGGTGACATATTTTCCCTGCATCCTCAGAGCCCAGCCCAGGGCCTAGCATGTTGAGGATATTCAGGAAATGTTTGCTTAGTGAGTCTGTGAATGTAACAAAACAGGGCAAGCTGGCTGTGCTCAGGGCCTGAGACGTCTTCCTATGGAGTAAAGGCCATAGGCTTTAGAGCATGGGCTCCGTGATGGTGTTTACACAGCTCAGAGGCCCATTACGCTTCTGAATTTAGCTTTGTTCCAGATAGCTGAGGCTACTAAGACATATCCACAAGTAGTATATTACGTCTAATTTTCCTTTTAAAATTGCACTTTGTGATAGCAAAGTTTAAATCTATTTAAAACATCAACTATGGGTCCCCAGCATCTCTGTCACCAGAAACAGTGAAAGTCAGTGGGCACCCATCCATTTGAAAGAGTCTCTGCATCAGAGAGGGAATCAAAGGCCACTCAGGCCTCTACTCTTCACCACATCCCAAGACCCCTCTTCTCGAGGCTCAGGCTGATCGGCCACGGCACCTGCTTGCCAGCCTGCGGCCTCCCTTGGAACGCTGTAAAAGCTAGCCACGTTCAGGCACAACTTCCACATTACTCAAAGTGGGGTGGGGGGCCCGTTTTGTTCTAGTCCAGCTCCAAACTGTTTCCAAACATCAACCCCTTGCCCTGAAGAAGATCCACCCTAGTCCCGGGGCCATGGTGGAATCTGAGATGCGCCAGCCCCTCCAAGGCGACCAGGGGCTGCTGCTCCCTTGCAAGGAACTCATGCTCGACTACACAGACAGTGCTGGTTTCTGTCTAAGCTCAGCCCTTGCCATGGAGGCAGACAAACAGAATGGGAACATGACACAAGCTGGTGGCAAGCTAGGCAAGCCCCCACCCCCATGGCAGCACAAAGATGGAGTCACAGAACACCACAGATGAGAGGCTCAGCCTGGTGCACCAGCCAAAATGCTGAGAAGCTTCACTAGAAAGAAAATAAACCGAAATGACTTGCAGGAAGCCTGGGGGCGGTCAGGAGAGCCCCTGGATAAGCAAGTGATGGAGTCGCAGGAGCCAGAAGCAATGGAATGGCCCCGCCTGGAGACACAGATCAGGTCAGCTTACGCTTCTCCCGGGCCGACAGCCCCGTGCTGACTTCTTCAGCACTTTGTAAAGCACGTTGATCAAAGGTTCATTATTTTTTATCTGTTCCAAACAAAAAGGCAAATACAACAAAACGTAACAGGTGAGACATCAAATGACACTTGAAGGAGGCAGAATTTGGGGAACTGGCAAGGGGAGCCTTAGGGAGGCCGTGTGCTGTGCAGTTCACATGACCGCATCTCAGTCTGGGTGTGCTGCTTCCCAGCTGTCAGACTTTTCCAAACTTGTCCCCTCACCTCTAACGCAGGGACAGTTAGCTCTGCCTGAAGGCCCCTGTGCAGGCTGGTTCACTGAATGCTGGTTTCAGTGCCCATTTCCCCCACTTCTGCTGCAGAAGGCAAGAAGGAAGCTTGCCTTTTCCTCCGTCTTCCCTCGTCACAGTCTGAGAGATACCGAATGTGGAGTTCAGAGCGGTGCCATGCCTTAGTCTCACCCTGCCCAACATTTTCCACCTTCAACCCCTCAGACACTTGCCTCCCCACCTGTGTCGCATCTACCTAATTATGTCTTACCAACGAGCCCAAATGCTTACAGCTCCTTTAAGGGAACACCGTCCTCACCCGCTAAGAGAGTGGATCTCAACCCTGGCTCGCACACTGGAATCAGCCAGGAGCTGTGAAAAGTACGGATGTCCGAGTCCCAACTCCAAGAGACTTGGATGTAATTAATGGGGCGGGGCCTTGGCATCGGGATTCTTAAAAGCCCTCCTGGTGATTCTAATGTGCAGCCAGGATCCGGAATCACTCCTCTAAAAAGTGGTTCTCAAACTTGAGCATGCTTCAGAATCACCTGGAGGGCTTGCTAATAAACAGATTTGCTGGGCCCCACCCCCAGAGAGCCCCACTGAGCAGGTCTGGGATGGGACTCAAGATTTTGCATTTCTAACAAGTCACCAGGTATTGCTGATGCTGCTGGCCTGGGATCACACTTTGAGAACCACTGCTTTGGAACAATGGTTCTCAAACACTGCTATCCATTAGAAACACCTAGGGAGGGTTTTCCTTTTGTTTTGTTTTTTTAAGAGCAATACCTAAGTATTACTAATTAAATCAGAGTCTCTAAGGGTAGGACCTAAGCATCCATATTCATTTAAAAAGCTTCCCTGGTGGTTCTGGTTATGACCAGGGTTAATAATCTCGGCTTCAGAACAACAGACCTCAAACTTTAGTGTGCACAAGAATCACCACAGAGCTTGATTTAAAAAAATACAGAATTCTGGGCACTATCTCCAGCCGGCCTAATTCAACAGAACCCCGTAGATCTGTCATTTTTTAAATCAAGCTCCCAAGTGATTCTGAAGTAGGTGGTATCCCAGGCCACCACTTAAGAAACTCTGCCCCAGAAGCTGACTTTGGAAACAGACTCTGAACAGAGCAGCCCTGGTGTCAGGCCCCAACAGTCATGAAGAGCCTCGAGGCCAGGCGCCCAGAGCCACGGATGACACATGCCCCACCAGGGACAAGAGCGTCTGTGGGGTTGACTGCAACCTGCTCCAAGGACAAAGGCCACTCGAGTGGCAGCAGAGGAACTTCCTTCCCCCTCACCTCCCAGCTGTGCCTCCCAGCTGCCTAAAAACAACCCAAACTGTCAACAACGGCGAACCCCCACCCCCTCTCCAGACCTAGCTGGGGTGTGGGGTTCTAAAGAGCAGAACTTTAATGGCAGAAATACAGTTCAGCTCTTTAAAAAACTTAATGCCTTTGCATCCATGATAGGAGAAGTAGCGTTTCAGGAGAGGCTGGGAGAAAGAGTGTTTAAGAGTGTGAGCTTCAGAGTCAGAGCTCCCCTCAAGTACCGGCTCCCCACAAACTACTTACACGGCCTTGGGAAAGTCATTCATTTCTCTGAGCCTCAGTCAGTAAAAAAAAGATACCACCACCTCCCTTACGGGGCTAATGCAGGGGTTACAGGGTTTAACAGAAGTGAAACACGGGGACTGGCACACGTTACATCCTCTATTGTTATTAGGCTTCTGTTGGGAGTCAGGACACACAGGGACTCCTGGCCCTGCTCTGTTATCCTGTGCCTCAGTTTCTCTCTCTCTCTAAATCTCTTTTAGCTCAAATTCTATGATCTTGAAATAAAATAAACTTGAGCTGGATCTTCTCTCCAGGACCAACGTAGCGTTTCAGCTATCCCATACAAACAGGAATCAGAAGACAGGTATTTCCAATTACTCCAGCTCTAGGTTCCCTCTTGCACTGTGCGCCAAGCACTCTGAAGAGAGTTTCAGGGTACACCTGTGCTGCTGGTGAGCCGAGCCTCCCACAGGCCTAGGTAGGTGGTGGATGCTCTACAAATACTTCTGTGCCGACTGCATGGCCCCGGGGTGGGGGTGAGAAGAACCGAGCAGGCAGCGTGGTGACTGGCCATTGGGGAGGCCAAGGAACGGGGACAGGGTGCACACAGGGCAGGTGGAGGCCAGGGCTGGTGGACCTCTCTCCAGGTCAGGTGGGGTGGTGGGGGTGACAGAAGGACCTGCACAGGACGAGGGCACGGGAGGATGGGCTGGGCTGCATGTTCAGCCCACACCGCCGGGTCTGAGCACTCTGCACCCTGAGGCATTACTACCTTACTTACAAGACTCACGCTCAGTGTGATCTGCCTGCCACGTAAACGCCCTGATTTTGAGAGAATCCTCCTTGTTTTGCTCACGTCTGAAAGCCAAGTCTGACTTTTGTCCACTGCACCTTCTTTCCTAAGGCCTAGGACAGACTCAGGAAGCTGCATGACCTGCCTCTACCTCCCCCTGCCCTCACCCTGCTCTTGTTGACTCCCACCATTACCTTTCCTTTAATCTCAACCAACCCAAACCCTCTGGCCCTTCAAGGAGCCACACACACGCCACCGCCTCCCGAAGCCTCCCAGCATAGAAGTCCACAGTGACCCTCGCTATCTCAGCCCTGAGCACTGGGCCAGACAGGTCTTTGTACAGTCAATGTAAATAAGTCTGTGTTTTTCAGGGATATTTTCTTTCCCCAACCCAGACCCTTTGGAAGTTTCTCAAGGCCAGAGAGCCTCAATATTTCTCCTGCATCTCCCTTAGGCTTCTCCAGAGCTGGGTACACAGCAAGTACTCAACAGATACATAAATTTGTGATTCTTAATCAAAGTCACTGATCTTGCTTCAGCATGGGCAGGCCTCCCATCTGCTGCCTTAGGGCCTAATGTTCCTACCCCTGCTTCTACAAGGCTGGATGACGATCCTGTGTTAAAAAGAGCTCAAGCCAGGTACGCAGGCCCTTGGGGAGGCGGTTGCCTGGGTGTCCTGCCACAGGCCCCTCGCCCACCCTCTAACACCCACAGTTAATTAAAGGTCACATTCCTTCAGTCTATTTCATGGTTCAGGCATAAGAAGTGCTTTTCACAGTGCGAGCTTTCAGAGAGCTGTAGGAACGAAACAATAGCAGCTCTCTCTCAAGCAGAATGCCTCGCACTTCTACAGCAGCTTTCTCGGGCCCTCTCTGTGCTACGGAGGCTGATTTAGAGCCTGAGCTTTATCATGTACAGGGAGGGGCCCAGTGTTCATCTCCTAAATGTAGACAGGAGACCACAGTGAGCCTCAGAGCCACGTAATTCCATGTGGAACTTGCTCCCCCAGCAACAAAACCAAACACCCCACCAAACTACTTGTGAAAACACACACCAGTGGCACCGTGTGAACCAAACCCACCTCGCCCCCACTGGAGGCTCTGAAGAAGCAACTGCTTATTATTTGGAGGGACCTTTTGGTTCTGATCAAGGACAGAAAGAGATCAAGATCTTGTGCCCTCATTCTATAAGCCAGAAACTTTACAGCAGAATTCACAAGAAAGTGAGGAGAGCTCAGAGTTTGAGGCTGTGAGAAATAAAACTCTTCTGAAAGGCACAAACTTTTGGTTATAAAATAAATAAGTCATGTGGATGTAATATACAGACTGTAGTTAATAATACCATATTGCATATATGAAAGTTGCTAAGAGAATAGATCTCAAAAATTCTCATCACAAGAAAAAAAAATTTTGTAACTATGTATGGTGACAATGTTAACCAGACTTACTGTGGTGATCATTTTGCGATATATACAAATATTGAATCATTATGTTGTATACCTGAAACTAATGTTATATGTCAATTACATCTCAATAAAAAAATGAAAATTTCAAAAGCCATAGCAATATTAAAAAACAAAAACAAAACATGACTCTTCTGATTCCGACAGGAGACATCTTCATTTGGGATCCAGATTTGATGAGACCCGCACGGCCTTTGGCTTTGGGCTTGGCTCCAATGAGGCTGACACTCTTAGAAAGGTGAGTGTCCAAGGGAGGCAAGACCCCTGACATCACTCACCTTTAGGTCCAGGTACTCCAGGTCTTTCTTCAGCTGGAGGTAGGTATCGTCAGCCTTCAAATGAAGCACAGAGGAGAAAAAAGCCAGTTATGAACACAACCTGTTTCCATAACTTGGGACTTCACAAGTCAATCATTTACATCTGCAGCCTCCAGACAAGGGACCAAAGCAGACCAACACATCAGGGGCCACAGAGGAAGCACAAATGTCTCGGTGCAGCTCAGAGCCCTCTTTCAGCATGGTGGATCTTGCAAGTCACCGTGGGGATGTCAGCTTGTCCCCCCACTGGCTGGGGGGACAGTTTGATGAGGAGGAGAGAGACAGGACACATCCCATCAGAGGGCTGGGACGGCAAAGCAAGTGAGGCAGAGGTGAGCTCCTGAGATGCAACTAGAGAGGTCTAGTTGGAAGAGGACACGCTACACCTGAGCTAGGGTCCTATCGATCACCAATGCTCCAATTCCTGTCATCAAACCTTTGCACTGGGTCACTTCACATGCATGAAGCAAAATGACCCCAGATTGGTGTGAACGGATGCCTGGAAAAGGCAGAGAGATGACCTGGGTGACCCAGGGAGGTCCCTTTATGACCTTGGGTTCCAGGACAATAAGCACCAGCAGCCACTGGAAGTTTCCTGGAAGTTTTGGCTCCTTCTGCTCAGCATGGAGCCAATGTGGCCATGTCAGGAGCTGGTCGTGGAAGGTCCAGTGTCAGACCCATCTGCTTGTGTCGCCTTTGACAGTCTGTTGAGTTCTTCCATCTAATTACTGGGAACAGGGAGAATAAGGAAAAGACTGATTCCCTAGCATTTATGCTTCCCATGTAACAGATCACAGAAGCTACCTGTGAGCCCGATGGGCTACAAAAGCTTGGACCTAAGAAAAACGGCCTGCATACCACTTTCTCAGCAGACTGAGGCCTCCCAGAAAGCCAAGCAGGCCAAGGCTGGGAAGGCGGTCCCTGTTCACGGCTCTGATGCAAAAAAACCCACACAAATAAACAATGTGAGACGTTCAGGCTGTGCTTTTAAGCATGAGAAGGCCTGAAGGACCATTGCCAGGGACACTAGTGGCTTGCAAGATCTTATTTCTGTCCCTAAACTGTCCCCTTACCCATCCCTACTTCCCCAATCAGCCTAGTCTCCGTATACTTTCCACAGCAGTAAGGAGGACACAGAACAATGTTATTAAAAATCATCCAGATTCACAACTTAGGGTTTTTCCACATGTTCCCCTACATTCGTTTTTCTGAATATATTTCCTGAGTCCCTCAGGTCCCACTAAAACAGGACATGTAAGGAAGGTGACAATCCTGTCACCTTCCTCATTTGTCCTCTGTCTACTTCACTGCATCCTGGAGGGGCCAGCCTCATGTGGACCAGCATCCTAAGCTGCTCAAGATATCCAGGAGAGCGACTGCCTAGCCATTCCTTGGGGAGCTTGTCTGTAAACCCCATGTCCTGGAAATTCAGAACATTGTGCCAGATAGGACCCGGGTTTTGGTTCCAGCCTGCATGCCACCAACTGAGGGATCCTGGGCAAGTCACTTTCCCTTCTGGATCCACTGACTCCTGTGTGCTAATAACCCCTGTCCAGCTAACCTCTCCCAGGTGACTGTGAGTTTCACCAGGATAAAGGATGTGAGGATGCTCTGTCAATCAGCAGGGCACCATCCAGATAAGAGAGGGCACTATGACTCTTTCCTCCAAGCTGACACACACCTTTCAGCATCCCAAGGAGTGCCCAAGGTGGCAACAAGGACGACAGCCAGCACAGCCCTTTGGACACGACCACACACCAGCTTGGCAGTCACTACTCACAGCCAGAGAAGCCACAGTTCAGGTCCCTCACACCACATGCAGCCTCCTCCCCAGTGTCGGGGCGTGGGCTTCACCACTCTGCACAGTGTCTGGCAGTAGCATCCAGAAGCAAACAGGCAGGGAAGGAGGGAGAGAGCCAGACAGCAAGTACAGACTAGAGCATGGGCCAGCATGTCACTCCCTTGCCCCCAGGGTGGCCCTTGGCCCTGAGTGAGCCCACCAGTGCTGACCTGGCAGGTGGGAAAGGTCAGCTGGTGCTGCAGTAACTGGCCGACGGCGAAATTTCGCACACTGGCCAACTTGGCCTGGTGCCGCCGTAAGCGGGTGAGAAGCAGTGAAAGCTCCTCCAGCTGCAGGTGTGGAGACACATCACAAGGAAATTAGCCACCGCAGGAGCACGACGCTATATTACTCTTCACCCCGGCACTGAGACAGCACTGACGTGACACCGCAAAGCAATTATTGCATTAATTCTGTCATTAGGACAAAAGAAGGCACTGGCAGAAAAGGGGCTACAGGAAGTAATTTTTTCAGGAAACAGCCACCAACAGTGCAAGCTCACCTGGACTCGAGCTTTGAAGACAGAGTTAATGACTCAAAGCAAGGACTGGGAAGAGAGGAGAGGAGCTAACAGGAGAAATGCAGGTGGCTGGAAAATGCCGCAGGCGAAATGCAGCCAAAAGAGAAGAAAAGGCCAGTATTTCCCTCCACTTCCTCCAAGCTCTTCGTCTGCTCTGGGGAGGACCCAAGGCCAGCGGGATGAGCCTGAGCAAGTCACTCGACTTCTCTGAGCCTCAGTTTCCTCACCCCTAAAATGGGGGTTGATAGCTGCCCTGCAGACCGCATTTGACCGGCTCAGGGGAAAACCCCCATGAGGGAGCCCTTTGCAGGCTGTATGGTATCAGTCACCTGGAGGGGAAGACCAGGAGCTGCTTACCGATTTTCCGTGTAAACTGGGAGCGCTGACAGTGTGGGTCATGTAACCCATGGAGGGCATGGAGCGCCGGTCCACGTGAGAGGAGTTCTGTAGGTGGGGAGACAAGAAGTCACACCGAGGGCCTGGCAAGGCAGCCGCGGCTGGGGCCAGAACCTGCCACTCACTCCCAGGGCAGCCCACCACACGGCACCTCACCTCTCTGAGCCTCAGACTCTTCATCTGTAAAGTGGCGCTACACATCTTTCTCACCAGTTCTAACTATAAACTGTGAAAGCCCCTTCAAGAGGTAAAACTTAGGCTGGGTTATTATAAATAATTAAACTGACTGAACCCAGACATCTTTTCCTGCCTTCCAAGCTGCAAGGAAGCAGACTTCTAGCTGTGTGAACCTGTGCAAGTTACTTGAGATCTTAATGCCTCACAGTTCTCATCTGTGAAATGGGAATAAAAATAGCACCTACCTCATAGGGTTGTTGTAAGAATTAAAGTAAAGCCTTTAGTACTGCACCTGGCATCTAAAAGTTCTGATAAGTGTTAGCTATCATTATTATCCCAAATGGCTTGAATTTGTGTTCAAACCATGTGAGGCTCCCTCCAACCTAATGCTGGACCCAGGCAGCCTGGCACGGCCTTCAGAGCCTCACCTTGGTGGCGTGACCCCATGCCTTCCTGGGAGAACCCCCTAGTGAGATGTCCACGCTCCTCCTCTGGTCCGGTGGCTTCACAGTGACCCTCTCTGCTGGTGTGTGTGGCCGCCGGGGTGGGAATACCCTTGGGGGTCCTGGAGGAGGGATGTCCGAGGGAGATGGAGGCACAGAGATGGAGCGGGGCACCTCCAGCATGCTCCTGCTCCGGCCCTGGTCGGTGAACTCTGGCGAGCCGGCACAGATGGGCGCCGTGGGGCTGCCGTGCCGGAACTGCTGGCGCTGCTGCCACTCGTAGAGCTGCCACACTGTGCCATCCCGGTGGGCCCGGCGCTCCTCGCTCGACATCTTCAGGTGGCTGGCTCGGTCCTGCGCGTACTTGTAGTCACTGGGCAGGTTGCGGGGAGGGGGCGAGGAGCCCCCCGAGGGGTGTCGGGTGCTTTTGGGAAGAGTCTGGTAGTTTTCTGGGAAGGCCAGGGACTGGCCAGGACCCTGGCGAGGAAGGGTCTGGTCCGGAGGCAGGCTGAGGAGAAGAAGAAGGATGCGTATGACAACCAAGCAGGGGTCTGCCAGGCTCCTGGAAGCAGCTAAGTAAATCCTCAAAACCAGGCAGGCGAGGGAGCCCAGCAAGAACCCCAAAGAACATCAAAGCAGACATCCAGGACTTTAGCCACTTCCTCGCTTTGCAGGACTCCAAAACCATTTTTCTCTGTCAACCTTAGCATGTCAACCCCCTACCAGGCCCACGCGGCTGCCCCATGCCCATCACTTCAAGTGCAAAGTGACTGAACCCGCCTTCTCCTTCCCGCCTCTTCCGTCAGTGTGCTCTTCCAGCAGTGTGCGTGCTTATAGGAAACGCTTCCCAGTGCTCCGGGTCACCAACTTTCCCCCTGCCCGGGATCCCAGCACCAAATTCTAGAGGTTCCTACAGGAAGCGGCTGGCTCCAGTTCCTTTCTTTTCTCCTACTCTAGTCCAGACACTGATGAATTACCTCCCCCCAGACAGCTGTGAGATCTTCCTAACTAGTTTCCACACTGTACCCAGTCAACTGCTTGGATCCAGTCACTCCTGTGCTCCAAAATTTCAACGGCTCCCTGCTGCTCACGAGGTAAACTCTAAACCCCTTTGCCTGGTACTCACAGTCTCCAGCACCTGACCTCAACCTACTAGGCCTATAGTCCTGCTGTTTTCTCACTGCTCCTCCTCCGGGGGCCATGACTAGGCTGAGGCAAGCCAGGCGTCCAGGGCCCAGCACTTAAGGTGGCGCCCCCCTCAGGGGCAGCCCTGCACTTGCTGGAGCCTGAGAGTGAGCCTCACCCAAACCCTGCCCAGCCCCCTACACACCTGGGCCACTTCCCGCAGCGGAAAGCAGAGGCAGTCTGACCTGGGTTGAATCCTAGCTCTCCCATCCACTGGCTATGTGACCCTAGACAGCCTACCTGCCTGCTCTGAGCCTCAGCTTCCTGACCTGTAACAGGAGGCCGTGTTGCAGGCCCGCCTCATAGGCTGCTCTGAAGAGTAAAGGAGACAGGTGAGAGAATGTGGGCTCCGAGCCTGATACGCAGCAGGTGCTTCACCAGCGGGGGCTCCCTTCTGCCTCTGCTTATGCTCATAGTGTTGTCCTTCCTTCCCCTACCTGTACAGGCTCCCCTTGCCCAATTCACCCAAATCTCACTCATTCTCCAGGACACCGTCCCATGCCCCTTCACAGAGGCCTTCCACAAAGCCGCAGCCCTCAGGGACGCTGCTCTGCTCTGACCTAGTTATTGTATGGTCTGTAACTTTTCCAAGGTCCTGTCTTGACAGAACCTTTTCATACTTGTAGGACATCGCTTCCCCAGCCAAGCCGTAAATCCTTGGAGGGGAGGAATTATGTCTCACATTCTGTGATACTGTCCACGGTCTGAGAAAGTCCTGATGCATAAGCAGCCCTTCAACAAATACCCCTGCACACAAAAGCTGGATATGACTGTGAAAACTACTACCAACCAGCCACTTTATTTTCTTAGAAGGAAGAAACATTCAGAAAGGGGCAACATATAGAGTTTTATTAGGGCTTAAAAGTCTAACCTGAAAGGCAGCAAGGTGTTGGGTTGGAATCCTATCTCTGCCTTTATCTATCAATTTTATCTAACAAACTTTTACATAGTACTTACCATGTGCCAGGTATTGTTCTAAGTCAGAGCTATTCAAAGTGTGGTCCTTGGACCAGCAGCATCAGCACCACCTGGGAACTTGTTAGAAATGCAGGTTATCAGGCCCCACCCAAGACCTCCCAAACAGAAACCTTGGGGGTGAGGCCCAGCCACCTGTGTTTTAATAAGCCCTGCAGGTGGCTAATATTTGAGAAATGCTGTTCTAATTGTTTTTAAACTAATCTCATTTAATCACTTCCTAGCTATATGACCTTAGGTGTCATTTATGTCCTCACTCCTTCCTATAAAGTGAGGATACTAAGAACTACTTAACAGATTGTTGTGAAGATTATAAATAGTTGTCATTCATAAATGGTAGCCTTCTTCTTCCTTTTCATCATTATCTTTGCAATTACAGGAGGTAATTTTCAGATCTCTTCAATCCAGACTTGTCTAGTGTGTCTGCTTGCCACGAGGTGGCAGGGTTTGCTATTGATTTCCCAAAGTCAGAGGGGAAAGTGTCAGTGAGTCCCCAAACAGTGGTGGTGGCAGTGGCACAAACCAGGCTGGGGGCTTCCCCGGGAGTTCATAACTTTACCAACCCTTGTTCACTCTGCCTGAAGCAAAACGCAAACTACGCAGAGCATGTGCTAGCTGTGCTCCCCCCGTACCCTGCAGTCTCGCTCTGCAGTTCACTCTAGGCGCCTGGCTACAGTGTTGGGATGGTCAGAGGACCCCACATGGCAGTGTCCCAAAGCCTTCAGCTTGTCCTCTACCCTGCACCCTCTGTTAATGCACTGCCTGCCACCCTTCCAGCGCTGGCCATTTGGGGGTGACCCCAAGGCCCCAATGCAGTGGTGAGCCCTTGCTCAGAGCCAAACCATGGTAACTAACCGATGGTCGAGGGAGGGCCGCTGGAGGGAGGGTAGTAAGATGAGGTAAAGATGCCCCTGGGAGCAGGCAGGAGTTCCCAGAGCAGCTTTCTCCCTAACAGTAGGTCCATTTGCTGGCCCCCAACTCCAGCCTTGCCCAAAAAGAGGGCTCAAGGTCTCCTGCTCTCTGTGGCTATGGGCCTCCCTAATCCAAAAGGGACCAAACAGAATATTCTGATACAGTCACTACAAAATGGTCATACTGAAATATAAAATCAACTTTTATAACCAATCACTTACGCAGCAGACGGTCCTCACCCTGACTTCCATATCAATTGCACAGGACTTTCACTTTCTACTCTGTTCCTCACCGTAATGTCTGAGTCCCTGACTCCATCCTCACCCCCAACTTTTTATTTCACAAGTATGCATTACTTTAAACACCAGGAAAAAAAAAAAGGAGGGCTACAATTTCAAAACAATCTCTTAGAATGTGCTAAGATTCTAAGGGTATGTCAGTCTGTCCTCCACAAACCACCATTCTAAAGAAGTTTAATGATGCGACACATAATATATATCTTATATGATCTAGAGCCATGAAGATGAGTTCATATTACTGTTCAAATAACACTCCTTCTAATGTCTAAAGTGCTCAATCTAATGAGATTAGCACAGTATTAATCTTACACAAAGCAAAAATCTTCTGTATTTTCAAATGGCAGAGGTTCCTTTATTAAGCAGCCAGATCTACTTATTACTTGACTGTAAGAAATTACAAATGTATCTTTAAGGAAAAAAAAAAAAACTCTGGGAATGTAAGATGCAGTCCTTTCAAGATACAAGTGAATAATCAGAGACTGCACTTTGCTTACTTGGGGACTGACAGCTTTCTTCTCAAAAGGGTAGTCTTCAAAGTCCTCACTTTTACTTCTCAGCCCACTGAGATCTTCCACCACTAGACTGAAATTCCTCTTGCCGTGCACTCAGCGACCTCCAAGGCCAGTGAACAGTTTTCATCCGCAGGCTCAGTGTCACCCTGCCCCTTAGACAAGAGCAGCTCAAACTCCATCTCACATCGGAGGGACAGTCCAACGCCTTGCCCAACCCCCTCTTATCTCCTTGCAGTGACTCATCCTCCTTTAGCTCCCTGACGTGCTCCCCACCCCCAAATGCAGGCCATGGTGTGTAGCAGAGTAACATAGGTTGATGGGCTGCCAGAAACAGTTTTGTAGAGACATGTCACAACCAACAACTTATAACTGTCTATCAGTTGCACAGCTTTTGCAAGTCCTTTCTGCGCCCCTGCCACAAAGGGTTTCTCACTGGCCGTGCCATTGTCTCCTTCCTTCCCGTATTCCCCTATTACTCTGCCTCTTGACCTAACTTTAAAATTCTAGCTCTATGACGAAAGGCAATTCAGGTCTGCCCATCTAAGCCCATCAAGCAGCTCAGTGGAACCAAAGGCCTCAGCGACTGAGGGAAAGCCCAGCAGAGACCCCGAGGCTCTGGACCCTCCTTCAGTGGTGCCCAGCCTCCTTGGAAGGCACATGACCCCCAGGGAGAAGTTATTTGCAGCACCTCACGCTGCTGACTGGACTCTTTCGAGATGAAACTCTGCTCATCACACTCCGGTCTTCCTCCTCCATCTCCTGCTAAGCTCCTTTATGGAGACCCTGCTTTTGCCCACCCCTTGGGCTGGAGATGCTCAGGATTCTGTCTTTGGCCCTCTGCTACTGTTAAATCTATGCTGGGATTCTCAACCCTGGCTGCACATTAGAATCGCCAGAGGGAGGTGGGTGTTTCTAAAACTCCTGATGTCCAGGTTGCAACTCAGATCAATGGAATCAGATGTCTGGGCGTGGGACCCAAGCCTCAGTTATCGCCAAACCTCTCCAGGTCATTCACATACTGGGAAATACCTGGGGAGCTTTTAAAACATCCTGATGCCTTGACCTCACCCCAGACCAATGAATCTAAATCTCAGGCAAGGCCTCAAATGATCAAACTGTGCAGCCAGGATTAAGAACCACTGCTCTAAACACTCCACCCTGGGTGATTTACTGTCAGAGCATCAGTTACCACCTCTTGGCACTGATTTCCAAACCTCTCTCTAACCTGAACCCACAGCCCCTATAACCTATAACAAACAGAACTGACCCCTGGCCAGTCCCATGTGGGAATGGGAAGATACCTTAGCTACAACACAAAAGGCCTTCCTTCTCCTAGTTTGTTCCACAGTGTCTACCAGTACCAGTTGCTTATGGGGTTTCTGTTGTGATTTCTTCACCATCTTACCCTCACAACTGCCCACCTGGACTAGATTAAAAACTTACACAACCCACACACGCACACCACATCCACACACCTAAAGAGAGGCCTAGGCGATGCCCCTAGGAGCAGTACTGCCTCCAGAGCCCAGAGGTGCAAAGTCAACGGGGGACTGAGTGTGGCACTTTAGAACATGTTTATCGGGCCTGTGGCTGACTTGGTCTGAGCTCTGGCACATCCACTGCAGCCCCTCCAGCCCCCGGGGAGCTTTCTGAATGCACCATGGCTTTGCTATCTCCTATCCAGTCAGTGGTTTGTTCTAGAAGTCTCAGGATGGCATGGGGGATTTACTGCCTTCCCAATGAAGACAAAACACAGTGGCTCCTGGGGAAAGTGGGGAAGCTAGGTGACCCTGAATTCTTCATGTTCACAAATACGTCCTAATTAATCTAAAATTATAATAAAATAGACAGTGCTTTGCAAATAGTAAGAGATGCATGTCCTCTAAATAATTAGGAACCGCTTCTTGAAGGAATGGATATGATGAAGCCCAATGTCAACAGTGCCAAAGCACTCCTCTATGTGCCTGGAATTAAAAATGGATCTGTATTTACTCTAGCTTCTACAAATATTTCCCGGATTCGGGGAAGCAGCGGCACAAGAGCAGGAGATCCACTACTGTCTACTGCTGACCATCTCAAGGCGCGCTCTCTGGGGAAGGGAAAGGGGCCTTCATGTAATCACCAGCGGGCTTGGGGTCTCACAGACCCAAGTGTGAACTCTGGCCTTGCCACTTATCTGTGTGTCCTGGGCAGGTTCCTTCACTTCTCTGAGCCCCAGTTTCTTTGTCTATAAATTGAGGATATCATCCCCACCTTGTAGGGTGGTTAGTAAAGAGTTTAAGGCCAGTATTAGCCCGGGACGTGCTGGGTAAGTGATAGCTATTGTTATTATATTACCATACCCATCAGCAGCGCTCCTGAGTCTATTACTGACCTCCTGCCGTCCCCCTTCTGGGCCTTTGCCCACTGCTCCACTTGGGCCAGGCTGCTCTTCCTCTGGCTGTGCTTTTCAGGGTGGGTCCTGGGAGGAAAGGCCCGCTGGTACCCGCCAGTCCCGTTCTGCTCTCCTGGGCCATATGCGGCAGGCAGCACACCGTTCTTCTCTGCCCGCTGGGGCTGTGCCTGCTGGCCTCTCAGGCCTCCGGATAAATCCGTGAAGATGGCATCCTCCTCGGCTGGCGAGTACGGGGACCTGGCCTTGCTCCTGTCCCGCTTGCCCTCCAGTGGGTCCCTCTGGGAATGGTACCGTTCTTCCTCTTGCTCCCGCCTCTCGAAGCCAAAGGAGTCCTCGTGGCCACGATGAGGACAATCCCTCGCATGTCCGGGTCCCACGCGGCCACATTCACGACAGGACTCTGCATGATTGGCCTGGGGCACTGCCTGCCGCTCCACCTTCTCCACATCCCTGTAACAACAGCAGCACATTCAGCCCATTCCAGACAGCACCACCAGCAGCCAAGACTCCCCAGTGAACACACTTTACTCTCAAATTACCTCCAGGCCTTTGCACCAGCTGTTCAGCCTGGAACACCTTTCATGCCTGGTCCCTCACGCTGCCTGCCTAACTTCTTCTCCTTTGGGATCTGGCTTAAATGTCACCTCCTCCAGGATGTCACCCCAGACACACACCGCCAGTGTAGATCAGGACTTTAGCTAACTCCACTGTCACACTAATCACACTGGCCCACGAGTGATGTCTACTCATCTGGCTCCCAAGTAGACTATGAGTTCCTTCAGGCCAGAGGCCCACCTGGCCAATCATTGTATGCCCAGAGCTGTGCAATGACTGGTACAGCTCTATAAATACTACTGAGCAAATAAATTATGCCTGTGACAATTTCAGGCCTTTCCCTTTTGTTGTTTGTCTGTCTGTCTGGTGCAGTCTGGCTTGGACAGAAGGCCCAAGCCCTGGGCCTTCTCCAGTGGCATCCAGCACAGCCCAAAGTACAACTGGCAGCATAAGGAACATTCTTCAAAGATGGGGAGTAGAGAAGAGGCACCTCTTCATACGACCACTTATCTGCCTCATCAGGGAACGGCTCAAAAAGGACCCCACAAGAACACTGACTAACAACAGTTCTGTGAAGTGTTACTAGTCAGATTTTAGACATAAGGAAACTGAGGCACAGAGAAGATAAATGCCTGAGATCATACTGCTGGAAGAGAGTGGAGCCAGGGCTTAATCCTGGGCAGACTGCAGAGCCCATGTGCCTGAGCCACTGCTCTCCATATGCATGTCAGCAGCCTACATGTATGCACACCTGGAAATTGTAAAGGAGAATGGGGTGGGCGGGTGAGCGGTCAGGGCGTGAAATGAGGCTGGAGAAAGGGCTTCTGGAGCTGAGAAGGAGTCCTCTTTCATGGCCCGTCTCCCACAGTAAGCTGCCTTTCTCCTCACCTCCTTGGGGCAGGGTCCCAGTTATGTCTGCATCCCTACTACCTGGTCCGAGGGACACAGCAGTGGCTCCATAAGCTTTGCAAAATTAGGTTGGAGAAGCAGAGGAACAGACTCTAGCCCAGCTGGACTGAAAAAATGACCAGGGACCGCTGGATAGGGCAGCCAGTCTTCTTGTACTCCTTGGTAAAAAGTCCTGGCCTTGCTCCAACACTCCTTGATCTGGCCACGCCAGAGGGTTCTCTACTTCAACATGAGAGCATACAATGGAAATACTGCAGTATTTACAGCTCAGCACCAGGGCCCAGGTGTCCTCGCAACAACCTCAGAACCTCAGCTACCAATAATCAGCACAGATTCAGGGCAGAATCAACCCAGTCTGGGAGCTGGTTAGAATCTCAATATAAAGTGAAACTACAACCCCTAACACAGGGTCTGCTGCTTTGGCCTTAACTCAGGCATGGAGAACTGAGAAAAACAATCTCACTGTCCATGCACTCGTGCCTTTTCCACGAAAACCCAAAGCTTTTGAACAAAAGCTTCTTTGGACCTCCTTTTATCCATCCCTAGAGGACATCTTTCCCCCAACACCTGCCATCCCTTCTAGTAACAGTGTTTCAATTTCCATTTGGGGATCACCCTTCTTCCCTCTCAGTCCACGTGGTTTGGGTGCTACTGACTCTACTAGTCCCTGTCCAGCTGAGGCTCCAAAGTCTCGTGATTGGTTCAGGGGCTGACACATGAGTGTCATGCGTCCAAGCGGAGTTGGCTCTGGGACTTTGGTTGGAGCTGGTCTTGAGCTGCTGCAACTCTGTGGGAAGCAGCTATTTGAGAATGAAGCCAACACCAGGGAAAGCAGATGGAGAGAAACAGAATCCTAAAGACTTGGCCTGAGCTCCTAGATTTAGCCATACCTAAACCAGATATACCCTTGGACATCTTGATTGTGAACCAATGAATTCTCTTTCTCACTTAAACTAGTTTCAGTTTGGTCTCCATTACTTGCAGTGGAAGGAGTTCTACCATATCCTTATATAATGACATATTCAGTTGGTGATGTCTGAGGGCCCTTCCATTCATAATATTCAGTGGATCTATAAGCTCCAGTAGCAGGAACATATGGAAAATATTCAGGGGTGTTAACTTTAAGAAAAAGCAATTCTTACTGTAAGTTTATAAAGGGACAATTCTGTTCCACAATGTACACATTATAGGTTTTAACTCTGTCTTTCCTTTTTTCCTTTAATCCTCCATAACCACGTCAGTATAAACCCAATCAGTAGCCTTCAAGTTGCCTCAGCTGGCTTTAGCTTCTTCACTGTTTCTCAAATTCAGGAAACCACCCATGGGGGATGTGCTAAGGCTGCTGCCTAGAAGATTCAAGCTCTGGCTGCCCTCTGGGTCATACCCTGGCCAAGTCACCGAAGCTTTATAACCTGGTTCCTCCACCTGTGAGACCTAAGTAACTGCACCTCCCTTTTAGTCCCACCCAGAGATAAACAGCACCTTGTCATAGAAGCCAGATAGTGAAACAAATATGCCACCCACACGTATGACATTAGAAATGAAGGGAAAAGGGCTTCCTCGACTCCAGGACCCAAGGACTTAAGGCCAAAACGTATTCTAGCTTTCTCCCTGTCTCCTTGAATTACCAACAACTTAACAAATGACTTCTCAAATCAGGAGACTTGTCACAAATAGATCTGCAATGCTCGATTTAGCACAATGGTGGGAAAGAATGAAGAACCCCTTGGCTGTCAACGACTGTTGACATTCAGAGAAGTCAGCTGTGCAGGGCGTGGATGTTTAGCTAAGATGACACAAGCCTTTCCTGAGCAGGTCATTACTGTCATCGTGATCACCTGGAATTAGTAACTGCTCAGAAATGCAGGAAATTCCTGACATTCAGAGACCATTTTGGCCATATGTGTCACTTTTCAAACATGATAAACCCAGATGGTGTAGTATTTAGAGCCAGTTGGACCTGAATTCAAGTGTTGGCTCCACCACATAAAAGCTGGGTGACCTTGGGCAAGTCTCTGACTTCTCTGGCCTCATCTGCAAAATGGGGACAAGAGCCCCTGAGTCTTCAGGTTGTTATGAGGATTAAAGGAGACAATGCACAGAAAGAGCCCAACACTGTGTCTGGCACACAGTATGTCCTCAAGTACAAATGCGTTGACTCCCAATATCTATTCTCTCCTCCTTTCTTGCTCCAATTTTTTCAAAGCAGCAGCATACCCAACAATAAACTTACATTTCCCAACCTTCCTTGGAGTTAAGGGTGATGATGTGACATAGAGGTGGCCAATAAGATGAATATAGAAATTGCTGGGTGGGTCTTCCAGGAAAGTCTTTACTAACCTTTCCCTTCTTCCTGCCTGGAATTTAGACTCTGCTGGATTGCAGGTGACAAAAAGGAGGATGAAAGCCACCTGCTGAAACCTGGGTAGAAACTAAGAAAGAGCCCAGGTCCCTGACAGCATCATGGAGCTACTATACCAGCCCGACCTCTGGATCCCCGTTATGTGAGAAAACTGAAACCCATTTGATTACACCATCCTAAGTTGGGATGTTCTATTACAGCATCCAAGTGTAATCCCTGACACAAGGGGCCAAACTTATTATCAGCAGGGGTTGGGCCTCCCGTTTTCAGCTCCTCACAGCAATGCTCTGTGTCTGCTTAGAGCAAATTCTCATTTTCCCTGCAAGTGGGAAAAGCACACATCTCAGACTGGGGATCCTTCTCTCTCATTCCTTTTCTTCACAAGATCTCAGAAGTTAACAGATCACACCAAGCAGGTGTGCACTCATGATTAATTTATTCTGCCTCCAAACCCTTTATCTCACCAGGAAATAAGGAATAATATTTCCCTCTAAACGCTACACACACACACACCCCACACACATTAAGTCTCATTCAAAGCCATGGGTGGGAAGCGGAATGACAGTTTGTAGGGGCTTGGTTAGACCTTGGTCCTGTTGGTGGACCCTGCCCTTCTGTCGCAGTCCCACTGGAGGATCCCTCCCCACTCATCACACCTAAATAACCAAACCAGCAGCAAGAACAAGCAGCAGGCCACTGATCTTCTTGGAGAGTTTGGTCTGAGCTGGGTGACGTGGCAGAAGTCCTGCCCTGGGACACCAGCTCAGCCTGTGCTGACACAGTGCTGAGCACTGAGCACAGGCTCAGGAGCATGGTGGGCCAGAAAATGAGAACGCACCCTGGGTGCAGTCCATAGACTTGTACAAAAGGCTGAAGATAAAGAGGCCCTAAGGACCTTGGGAGCCCTAAGGCAGTTGTGCCCACTTGCATTAGTTCCTAGCATTTGAGGAAGAAAAGGAAGAAAGTGGCTGGAGAGCAATGGAGACAGGAGTCGGGTTCTTCTTTTCCCCAGAGTTAAATAGGGCGGTTCCCCTGGGAGGAGGGACGCTATCTGCCACCTTTCACGCTCTGCTCTAAATGAACAATAGAGGGCCTGACAGTCCTGACAGCACACTGCCCAAGTCCCCAGGTTGTCCTTCTGCAGAGAAGAGCGAGGCTGAAGAAAAAATGAAATGCCAGCCTGCCAAACTGAGGTGCCTCTTGCCTCAGGGGAGTGGCTACTGGCAAAGACCCCTGTGAAGTTTTAAGGATTTAAGGCCAAACCAGACAAAGAAGAAAGGAAAGATGTTCAGTGGCTGCCAGGTCTCCTCCCTCTGTTCATCCCTGCAGAACTCTGCCCTCTCCCTCCTACCTGAGCAAGTCATGCTCAACCATCATAGCTCAGTCTGAGGCAGCCTGCAGCTCCAGCACACGCCAAGCTCACTCACTTTCCATCTCCCTGAGGCAGTCACAGCTCTGGGTCATCCATTTTTTGTGGACAATGCCTGGTTATTATAAGCATATGCTGGGGCCTAATGTGTGCCAAGAACTTGACATAGACCATCTCTAATCCCTACAACAATCCTGCAAGGTCAGTGGTGTCAAGCCCAGGTTGGTTGAGGGCACTCACGTGAGTATCAGATGA